GTGCCTGGTGCCTGCTTCTGATAAGAACCGTCGTAGAATTGAGCTCTGAGTAGTGATTAAGCTTAAGAGGAATAGAAACGGCGCTGTCAATTGAATCAAGCGGGAACCTTGTCTTTAATTGATCGGATCGTCTGGACCCTTGGCTTTGTCGGCTACGGACGCGTGGACCAGACCCATGTGCGGAGTCCGCTCTACGGACGATGTGAAAGGGCCATCTAGGGCGCAGCCAGTAACAAGCGGGAGGAATGTCTGCAGGAGCCCACGCCGGGACGAATCTGGCTCCGGGAAGATGGAGGTGAAGGGACGAGCAAATCCAGCTCGGCCAACCTGCGGCAGCTCGACGACTAGCGCCAGCTGGTTCGGCCTGGCCTACGCGTCCTTTTCACGATGACCGCATTGGCCAATCAAGGCCTGTCATTTACCAATGGCGCAAGGGCGTCAGACTCAGCCCCAACGGCAAGCTGCTCTCATGACGTGGCCAGGGCAGACGGCTCCCGTGTGCTTGCTTTTGAGTTTGTCGTCTTGAACGGCGTCATATTGGAATAGAAACAATCGTAATGAGCGTTCATTTTCTAGTCGTTAAGTCGATCATGTTTGTGCTGCTCGAGATATTTCTGACACGCTCCCATTTTCTGAGTGTTGACCGGATCGATTCGCTGACAGGGGGATCACTTGTTGCACCTTGGCGCAATACACGAGTTTATTGCAACGAGACTTGGAGAATTTGACATCCTTTCGGGATAATTAAACACTGGGCTAGGAGCTCTGGATTAGTTTAATTTCTGGGGACAACGGTTAGTTTTGAGGAGATACTTCACCGTTATGTGCTGAGTGTAGGGTAGGTAGTCATTTCGTGGAGCTGGCTTCAGAGTGTGTGAACAAGAATCCACAGAAACTGCTGAGTAAACTTAATCTTGGTCACGTGTTACAGCTGCTCAAGGGTCCTTGGCGGTCGATGCATTCAACATGACACCTCTCATTGTGTCATTGTCCTGCTAAATAGCGGCTGGGGTGTTTGTTCAATTGAACCACGCCATGCCGACAAGAACACAAAATCCTCAATTGAGCGCGCAGCAGCCAGCTGTCTGTTTAGTCGAGCATTTTGGCTGTCTGTGGCAAGACGCGGCGCTGTTCAATTGAGCCCTCCTGATACCTGGGCACACTACCTACAGGCATATGACCCCTACTCTTACAACCGCTCTTTTCCCGGCAACTTCTCGGCAGCCTGCTTTCGTTCATGGAAAATGTCGCTGGCAATACGAAGAGCATCTCTTCCGGCAGGCACGCCACAGTAGATCATCGTGTGCCTAATGATTTCGCAAATTTGTTCTTCAGTCAGCCCGTTCTTGAGCCCTGCCCAAATGTGAAGGCGAAGTTCTGGAGCTCGGTTCAAAGCGACAAGCATCGCGATGTTTATCATTGATCGCTCTCGGAACTCAAGACCTGGTCGGTTGTAGCTGGAGAAGCATACTTCGGCAATGTATTCCCTTCCGATCAAATTGGGAAGGTCATCTCGCTGCCACTCAAGTCAGCCCAATTAATGACATACGCAGACAATTCTTTTTGCAGTCAACATTGAAACATACAGCGTCTGCCCCGATCTTTTGTAAGAGTTCACCACCGAAGAACTCATGCGCCAATCTTGCGCCAGTGGCGAGTTTATCGTCAGACATTGCGATATATGGTGTTGGTGAATAAGAGTAGAGCTGTTTGTTGCGTAAAGATGTTTCCAATATGATCCAAGCGACTTTGATGATATTTATGTTGACTTCTTACGATCAGCCGGCTGGCTCATATACTCGCGCCTGGTACCGAATGCCGAACCAGCCAATCTCGGTACAATCATGTTGTATCCGAGAGTTTCGGCATGTTTTTACCACGCCGAAATAGCCGGAGTAGGTTCTCAAAAACGGGCATAGCTTCTTCGACTTGCAGATTATGCATGCAAGTAGGAGGACAAATACGCCCATGTATGAAGAGAGAGCATCGTATGTAGAGCGCTCGCTGGAGGTGCGAATTACAGTGCTCATGAGAGCAATTTATAAAACACGGTGGCCTGTTCTACAGGATATTGCAAGGACCTAGATTGAACTACAGTAGAACACAGAATGAAATCCTACAGCTTGAGTAAGAGCTTTCCGTTCGTGACCCGGGCTTCCATGTCTTTGTGTGCCTGTGCAACCTCTTCCAAACCATACAGTCTCGTAGTCTTCACTTTGAGCTTGCCTTGTCTTAGTAAATTAAACACCCCATGAGCGTAAAACTCTAGCTCTTTCCTTGTCGCAATATACATAGGCAGTGTTGGCTGGATAACGGATAGATTCTTCGCACGGATCAAGGAAAGATCCAAAGGAGGAACTGGCCCGCCTGTTAAGAGGACGAAAAGTTAGAGATATTCGTACCAAGAACGCGTAAGCAACACTGACTTGCACTTCCGTAAAATACCACCTTGCCTTTCCGCTTAGTAACTTCGATGCTGCCTTTCCAGGTGTCTTTTCCGACGCTGTCGTAAACCTAATAAACAAGTAAGCCGTTGCTTTGGACACGAGGGGTTCACCATTCCATGCGTACCGCGTCGACGCCTTGGTTATTGGTGAGCTGTAGCACTTTCTGGGCCCATCCAGGCCCATCAGAAGCTCTGTAGTCAATCACATTAGCTGCACCCGAATCAAGTGCGATAGCACACTTTTCTGCTCCTCCGGCTGTTGCGATGACATTGACGCCTTCGTTGTGCAAAATCTGGCACAAAAGAGAGCCCACGCCGCCTGCTGCGGCATGGGCCAGAACTGTCTGGCCTTTCGACGCCGGGAAAGCCTCTTTGACGAGACTAAGAGCAGTCATGCCTGCCAGGTGGCTCCCAACGGCGTCCTTGTCGGAAATTTCTGGGGGAACTCGGATTGCCCGCACAGCAGGGACAATGGTGAAATCAGCATATCCAGCCTGACCTGCCCATACGACTCTGTCTCCCACCTTGAACCCGTTGGTATTGTTTTTATGGGCGGCTACCACAACACCAATCCCTTCTTGGCCGAGAACCAGAGGATATCCCGAAGGCGAAGGATACGCCCCAGTCCTGTAGTATACGTCAACGAAGTTGAAGCCTGAAAAAGTGTTCCGGATTAGTAGTTGGCCATCGGTGGGCTCGGGTGTAGGTTGCGAGTCGATGTATTGGAGCTTCTCAGTTCCACCGATGTCGGTGAGAAGAACAGCTCTCATGGTGGCAGGGACAGATTTGAGCATCGCCATCTCGATTGCATGAGGTGCTCGATAGTTGTTCGTTGCCGAGGGAAATTTGGCAGCAGTCGTAGAAGCTGGCTGGCCCACGAAGATCACTAGGTTACATGCGTAGTTATGTGATAATTGACTGACTTATGGGCTTGCACTACGATAAGTATTGATTGTGTTGAGATGTCGGGTCTGGCATCTTTTATTGCTGTTTTTGACTTTATACTCGAACTTCATCCGCACTCCGATAAGTATAATCTGTGTACCGAGAGGAACGAGTCAGGAGCCGGCCGTGGGCTTCTTCGGCTGCGGACTCGGCACAATTATGCGGACATACTGTGCGGACTGAACGGAGTCCGGAGCATCTTTCTGGTGGAGATACCGAGGCAGGTAGTGGCAAGGATCCTTTCCAAAATGCGGGGTGTCTGGGGAAGATGCATTCATCTTCAACTTCACATCATCGCAACGCAACAAGTAGGAAAAGGGGCCCAGTGGCCTCAATCAAGGCACGGCTCATCAACAGTATACCTGGAAACTAGCTAGCATTGGCATATGACCACCAGCGAACGCCATATTCCGCCAATTCGCCCTTGGGCATGGCGGTGAAATGCATCCAAATAGCCGGGACCGGGCACGTATGGTTTGTACCTACTGCCATGCAAAGAAGGTCTGTCTGCCTACCTAATCATACGTAATCAACCATTCTTCTTTTGCTGACAGTGATAAAAGATCCGTTGTGACCTCCAGGACAGTTCCACAGGTGCATGCCGAAACTGTCAGCGCAACAACCAGCCATGCATGTCAGTACATGTATTCTAAATAGAGCCTTGTGAAGTCGTATACGCATAATTGTTTTAATCAATACTGACTCCCGCATATCTTAGACAGAGAGATAGGACTCGAAGAAAATCCAAACCTCTGAGTTCACGGGCACAACGACGTGGCTCGCCTCTTGTGACTGCTCCTCAAGGCTCAGGCTCGATCTCTCCGCCGGCAGAGTCTAATCAACAAACCACACTTCCCTTCCAAACACTTGCGACACCAATCACAGCAGCAACGACTGCATGCGATAGTCACAATCCATATCTTTCTCCCAGCACCACGACAGAGACAGGCTATCTCGCGTCACATTCAGTCTTGCTCTCCAGAAACACTAACAGCGCCTCCCGGCATGTGAGTTCTGCCGCGCAGCAGGTTTCCCACTTTGTTCCAAGCCCGATAGATGCAGCTGTACTGCCAAAGCTGCTACTCCGTCAGGCGTTGATCGATTCCTACTTCTCGAACCTCAGCCACGCCTATCCGGTCATTGATCGGCATGATATCTCCGGGCCTGAGCCCTCAGTGCTGCTCACTCAGGCCGTTTGCCTAGCGGGTAGCATGATGCGGCGTACTGGAAGCTCAAATGGCCCGGACCTATCTCGGGATCTGTATGAAAAGACCAAGTTTCTCATCTACTTCAACTATGAGTCTTGTCGCTTGACGGTACTGAAGGCAATGTGCCTCCTGTCAATATGGAGTCCAAATCCTTCAAACTCGACGAGTTTGGACGGTCCATGGCATTGGTCAGGCTGCGCCATTCGAATGGCAATTCAGCTTGGCATCCATAAGCAAACGACTTATGGTCAGTGTCGAGACTCTGCGTGTCGCAGACGGATCTGGTGGCATTTATTTGTGTGTTTCTCTATCTTGATCATCCATCTTAGGTGATAGAGGACGCCGCTGACGGAGCCTTTTAGTGCAGTGATCGCTTACAGAGTGCTTGCTTCGGCCGACCGATGGCAATCCAGATTGATGACTTTGATGTGGCTCCTCCTGCACTGGCTGACTTTGCAGAGCTTGGTCTTCCAGCCAAAGCATTCATTGAGAATGTAAAGCTTTGCAAAATTATAGGTCGTGTCTCGCAGCTATTAAACAGCGGTGCATCACTCAACTCCGACGAGAGTTCGACCTTGAAGGCGTCTCTCTGTCAATGGATACGCAGACTGCCTCCGGAGCTCTCACTCTACGATGCAACGAGTTTGCGTCGGCCTTACAAGAAGGAAGTCACAGATCTGCACTTGGTTTATTTCGCTGCCATCATCTTGTTGCAAGCTGCCACGAGAGGGTACAATTCACAGTGGAGGGCATCCCCGGTTTCTCTTCTTGCCTCGTCCTGTATCGCTCGTCTCTACGAGGAAACACAACTCCGAGAGGATCTGTGTTTCCTCATTCATATTCACAGCTTCTACTGCATGGTGGCAGCTATACCGCTACTCTATTGGCGCACACGATCCCACAGTAAGGAGACTTGTCGCTTAGAGGAGTTGGGTATCTTGCGTTCAACTATAGAGCAACTCTCTGCAAAGTTTGGCGGCGCCGGCACAGTACTGCGTAATATAGAAGCCCTGGAAAGTGAGCTGCAGCAGAGAAGAAGCGGCAGCTCCATTAATGACATGATGCAGGTCGAAGAGAACATTATCGCGGGAGATGGAGAGCAAATGGAAGAGCTTTTCCCGTTTCCTCTTGAGCTCTGTCCAAATATGGATCTGCTTGACACTGCTGGAGCTGCCCGAATGGAAGAGTCACTGGACATTCCCAATTCCTTTGTACAGGACCTGCCGGAGTGGATATTTGGTGAAGATTCATCTTTCTCGGGTATTTTTGAGAGTGAACTAGTGTAGGACTGGAATTGGTAGTATCACAAGCCTCTTCATGTCCCGTCTCATGAACCAGTCACAGAATCTCAATCTTAAGGTCTTGAGTTACCGAAAAGTTTGATCTGTAATTCCAACACTCATAACTCCGACCCGGATGTCTCAGACGTGTTACAGACGTCATTTGCTGCTATTGCCATGGCCGACAAAAAAGATACCGAGATGGCTGAAGGAACTTGGATGTGCCGAATACCGAGTGCCGAATTCCGTCCTGCTGAAGTACCGGTTTGGTACAATGTTATTAGCCGAACACTACTCAACATCTGGGCCAGGTTTTGAGCCGGATGCGCCTGAATGAATAACAAGGATATCGGGGACGGTTATCTAGGAAGGCATGTCAAGAGACCTCGTCTGTAATGGCTCGGCTAGAATTTGAACTTTGGGGGCCTGGAGGCAGTCATAGGATCGAAGCACAGCAACGGAAGCCTGGATATTCTTTTCGGCATTTCAGGTCGTTCGGCTCGTTTGTATTGCCCAGACGAGCACGTAGACTGTAGGAGTATTTTAGCGATCATGTAATGTCAATAAAGGATGTACGTTCTATTACTCTAAAGTGAGATACAGAAAGAGTTTTGCATCTGTACCCAAGTCTACCAGTCCGCTTAAGTCGCAGTGTTCCAAGCGTGTCCCACCTATCCGTCTAGATGGCTGCACGACTGGCCAAACTTGCTGACCACCTCCATGGTGCTACATCTAACGCAGCAAAAGAGCAGTACGAAATCCTGGAACAACCTCTGGGCACAACCCAGCATGTACGCCTTGTCTGCATCGGTGCGGGAGCCAGCGGAATTAGCTTGATCCATACTCTCAAAGTACACCTTACAGATTACGAGATTACAGTATACGAGAAAAACCCGCAAGTTGGAGGAACGTGGTTCGAGAATCGTTACCCGGGGTGCAAGTGTGACATTCCCTCTCACAACTATCAGTTTTCCTTCAACCGCAATCCCCAATGGAGCAGCTTCTTCTCCCCCGCTCCTGAAATCCAGGAATATTTATGCCGCGTCTGCGACGATGAGAACATGCGGGAAGTGATCAAGTGTGGGCACAAGGTCGTTGGAGCGCGGTGGGAGGAAGAGGCAGGACTTTGGGGCATCAGAGTTCTGAATGAGCAGACTGGCGACACGTTTGATGATTGGTGTCATTTTTTGCTCGAGGCTAGCGGCATTTTGAAGTAAGTTTTGTTTTTGTTCTGTTTCTTAAGTCTTGATCCTTCTGAGGCGAGCTACATGAGTCGTCAATCGTGGGTTAACTGAGACGATGCAGTAACTGGAAGTGGCCAGACATTCCTGGAATCCAGTCTTTCGCTGGCGATCTGGTTCACAGCGCAAACTGGCCAGAGAATTTTGATTGGGCTGGCAAGAGGATTGCTCAGATTGGAAACGGCTCTTCTGGAGTTCAAATCCTGCCCCATTTACAGAAAAGCAAGTGTGAGCCTACTTGATAGCGACTCTCGTTACTGACATCCCGTGGAAACTAGGTGCCGCAGAGGTTGTGCATTTTATCCAGGAGCCAACTTGGATCGTGCCTCCGAGGGTGGCAACCCTGGCTCAAGGTAGAGCTGCCGACACAATGAGTCAAATCGAGCTTAATGAGCGAGAGGAATTCATGCCATCTCAAATTGAAAAGTTCAAGGCCGACCCTGAGTTTTACCTAAAGTTCATCAAGGCCATCGAGACTGAGGTCAACAACAATTTCCCAGTTGTGAGTCCAACCCAGCCCTGGCAAGCGAGCCTATCTGACCCTCTGTCTTGATGTAGGTTCTGAAGGACACTGACTATGCCGCTGCCGCCACGCAAGGAGTGACCAACTACATGTCTGCCTTGCTGGGAAATGATAAACGCCTTTGTGATGCTCTCATTCCCAAGTTTGAGCTCGGGTGCAGGCGACTTACCCCTGCCGTCGGCTACCTTGAGTGCCTCCGCGCTCCCAACGTCACCGTTGTGACCGATAGGATTGTTGAGATCACCCCAAAAGGCCTCCGTACGCTTTCAGGGGAGACAATTGAAGTGGATGCCATTGTTTGCGCAACCGGTTTTAACGTTTCCTTTTGTCCTCGTTTTCCATTGGTGGGACGAAACGGAAATCTTCAGGATACATGGACACGAGCACTCCCGAAAGCCTACATGTCTTGTGCAATCCCTGACATGCCAAATTATTTCAGTACGTATTCGTCCCAGAGCATGCTGCCGAACAAACATCTAACCATGGAATCTAGTCTTCCTGGGACCAAACGCCCCAATCGGGCATGGCAGCGTGCTTACCATTAGTGAACACATCGCAAAGCACATCACTCGCATCATCCACAAGTGTCAGACTGAGGGCATCAAAGCTCTTGCACCCACCCACTCTGCAGTTGACGAGATGGCCGAGCACATTGACAAGTTTATGCCTCGGACGGCATGGGCTGGAAAGTGCATTTCATGGTTTAAAAATGGAAAGGTAGATGGGCCAGTCACGGCACTACATCCGGGGAACAGGACCCATTTCTTCCACATGCTTGAACAGTTTAGGGGGGAAGACTGGGAGTACACGTACACGCTGGGCAGGAACCGCTTCAGATATCTTGGAAACGGGTTCTCAACAAAAGAGCTTGGTGACTCAGATTCAACGTGGTACCTAGATGAGCCAGATAGGTTGTGAGGGAAATTTACCGTGGACGTTGCATCTCATGTATCAAATTACCTCTGTCTTTCAAGAGGAATGTCACAAAAGAACTATTCATTGTGTTGAGATGTCGGGTCTTGCATCTTCTATGGTTGTTTGACTTTATACTCAAACTCTCTTCTGTCACAAAAGAACATCTTTCACGCGTATTCCAATTCAAATGCTCCAATACCAGACTCTATCAGCACATTCAAGTCGCAATCTCCTATATTCACAGGAAAGTTATGTACGAAAGTCATGTCGAGAGCTCCAAGACAGTCAGGCCACGGTCTAGTCCCGCATCACTCAAATGGGATTCGGTTTGTAGATGACCCGATCCTTGAGCAATCGGGGCGTGTCAGGGTCATGACTTGGCAACACTACAACTTCGGTCTCCTTCGCAAATTCTTTGAGCAGTTTCAAGCTCTGCAGCGCTCCGATGGGATCGTCGTTGATTCCATCCGGCTCCTCCTTGTCAAGCACGTCAATACCGTATGTAGCGTCCCCGGGAAGGAGATACGTCGTCTCGATTCCGTCAGGAGTGATTCCAAAAACAATCAGAGACATGTGGCCGGGGACATGGCCCGGTGAGGGGACAGCAACAATACGCCCGTCTGGTGAGATCTTGGCCGATTGCTTCCAGGGACCAACACGGCCATCGGAGAAGTCGAGAGTTCGAGGCTCGAATGGGTCCGGCCATCTGCTTGGATTGCAGCCTTGCATGGTCGCAAAGACTGGTCTACTACCGAAGGCTTCCCAGTGATTTTGGCTCACATATACAGGGACGTTCGGCGCTTCAGTGACCAAATCCAGAAGCCCGCCTGCGTGGTCACCATGAAGGTGGCTGAGCACGATCGCTTGCAGGTCTTTTGGCTCAACCCCAATAGCCTTCAGCTGCTGCACGATTCCGTCCTCTGGCCCAATGTCCATCGTGCTGAACATGCTAATTGGACTCCAGAAAGGCTTGAATCCCGGGTCGTTGACGTGGGGTGACTCGCCCGTGTCGAATAGAATAGGGCCATTGGGATGAGAGATCAGGAAAACGCCAATCGGAAGACTGTCGGACCACTGCCGACCAATCAGAGATCGGAATCTTCGCATCGTACTGTTTCGGTTCGTGATGGGCTGGCCCATCATCGCGTGCTTGATTTTGACCGTGCCCGTGGAGAAGAATGTGAGCGTGATGGGCTGGCTGCTATCACTCCCTGATACGTCCATGGTTGCTTTCAAGGGTCAATAAGACGTGGCCTGATTGAGATTTCGCAATTTCTGCGTTTAGATGCGAGTTTGACAATGCTTTTGAGCCATTCTTGATTCAAGTGCCGAGCGGACTTTGAGAATAATTGTGCCGATGCCGATGCCGAATGCTACATACATTGTGCCGGTAGTGCCGACTGTGAACTACCTCCAAGGCTTGTTATCTGAGCAATCTAATCGCATGACTCAAACGTAAATGTAGTTTGGTAGTCTGCGATTGTGCAGAAGTGATGCTATCCTAAAGCTTAGATACAACGGAGGACCAGTCTAACTCCTTGATCGAATCTTCGACGCTCTTGATATTCTTCTTCTCTGCGTCATTCAGTAGATCCCAACCTTCAACCATGTTGATTCCCAAGGCTGCCTCATCCCACAAGCCTGCAGCTTTCTTCCGAGCTATGTATTCGAAGAAAACCCACTGGCTTGCCTGCTCTTCACCCATGGCGCCCCATAGCGCGACGTAATCCTGAACCGTGAGCTGCACAACTTTCGTGGATCCTTCGGCGGGGGAGATCCCACTTGCGCGGCCCCAGAGAGCGAGATAGGACTCGAGTGTGAGATCTTGTACATTGCATCTTACGTATGTGCCACCGGCCGGAGGTCTCTCCATGATGGCCCGAATGAAGACACCTGAATTGGTGGCATGATCTCCGACACAAGGATAGGGGGACTTGGGGTCAGCAGGGTAGAACTGAACCCATTTCTGTGCGCTTTCCTGTATGTTGTTTGGTCAGCTGGCTGGTCATATTTCTGGTGCGCGCAAGGAAGAGCTTACAACCCAGACCGGGCGGAAAATAGGGTACTGATGCATATTGATGGCGAAGATTGTGAACAGGGTGAAAGTCGTTTTCTCGTAGAGACTTGGAAGGTGTTCTTTGATGTACAAGTTGACCCGGCCTTTCCCGTCAAAGTGCGGAACAACAGCTTCGTTGTTGGTCAAAACGGACGTCGGGGGAAGCGTACTCCATACATACGTCTGGAGAGTCTCTATCTTGGAAGCAGCTCTCGCCAAGTTCGTGCCATAGGTGAACTCGCGCTCCATGGAAGCATCTTTGCCGATCTGGAAGAAGAAGTCGTAGTAGTCCGTCACGGCGAAGATGGCGTGGGCGCCTTGGAACGCTGCCGTGAGGCTCGATTCGTCTTTCTGGTCTGCTTGAACCATTTCCACCCCTTTCTTGACGAGCGCTTGTGCTTTTGGGCTTTCTGTATTGCGAGTCACACCCCGGACGCGATACTCGGGGTCGTTTAGGAACGCATTGACAACGCCGCCACCTTGGCCCCCGGTTGCGCCAACCACAACGATAAGCTTCTTAGCCATCTTGGTGTTCAACAAGGAGTGGGGACTTGATTCCTCAGCGATCAGCTTAGAAGAAGCTCGTGAAATTAATGATATGGTTTTTAGACTGGACTAGAATAAAAAAGTCGTTGTGTATCATACGACTCCAAATGTTGTTATAAGTATTCGCACCGACTACTCTTGTGACTTTATTCCTCCGAGTGTTGTTTCGTCGGCGACGGAGCTCGGTACATTGAATTCAAGGCTCAACGTTTTGTAATGGCTCTTTGGGTAGCGGTATCTTCTCTCGACGTCGGCCAAGTAATCTGGCGATCGGCTCTTTCTGAGAGCCGAAGCTCGGTAACTTCGGATCTTCAGTCGGTAGTCGGCAGATCAGAGCCGTGCCTCTCATGACTTGTGTTTACGGAAGTAAGTACGCTTGTGTAAGCTCGGCTAAAGTGGCATTGGGCGATCGAAAGCCAAACAGAATCTGGGGAAACTCTTATCGGCTTTCTCATGAATCTGGGGAAACGCGGGGTTCAGCCGCTGACCAGGCAGGTATATCAAAGTCGTATCGTCACCTTATGCCGTAGATTATCACAGCACGACTCTTTATTTCACACATATCTTACCTGTTATTGATACCACTTGTCAAATGGCTGTCCCTCAAGAAACGGATAAGAATAGTCTGCCGGAAGCTCGTCACCAAGAGACAGCTGGCGGAGATGCGGGAGTTCACACTAGTACCGACTATGAGCTTGTCTCAGGCCCAATACGACACTTGAGCCCTGGAGAGAACAAGAGAGTCCTTCGTCGTATTGACCTGGTTCTGATGCCGATCATGTTCATTTCCTATGGCCTTCAGTATATGGACAAGGCAATCCTGGCAGCGGCATCTCAGTTTGGGGTAGTCGAAGAGGTTGGCTTGTATGATGTTGTAATGACCAATGGGCAACCACAAATTGACCTCACAAAATTTTCTTTGGCGACCCTTATATTCTACTGGGGGTTTGCCGCAGGCGGTGAGATCATATATGCCGATTCCTTCAACTAAGTGCTCGTCTGGCTCACATCAATGGATAGCTTTCCCAGCATCCTTCCTCTCGAGCCGGTTTCCTATTGGAATCTTCTGCGGGGCATCTGTTTTCGTATGGGGTCTTGTCACAATGGCTGCTGCGTTGGTTGATTCATACTCGGGCATGATGGCTCTACGGTAAGGTTGCCTTCGCTAACTACAATTTCAAGCCAAACTCGTACTGACTTACAAGCTTTAGATTCTTCCTTGGTTTCATAGAAGCCGCGATTCCAGCAGCTTTCTCGCTCACTATTGCGATGTGGTACAAGCCGGATGAGCAGCCTCTCCGATTTGCCATCTGGGTATCTGCAAGCGGTATCGGTGGGGTACTTGGTACTGTCCTCCTCTGGGGGGTCGGCCACATTAACGGCTCACTGAGCCCTTGGAAGTATCAATTCATTGTTCTTGGAGCTATGACTTCTGCCTGGGGAATCTTTCTCGCTGCTGCGATGCCAAGATCTCCTGCTTCTGCTTATTTCTTGTCTGAGAAAGACAGGACGTTGGCAGTGGACAGAATCCGCGCCTGTCAAACAGCAGCGCAGGATGAGGGCTTCAAGCTTCATCAGGTCAAAGAGGCTTTCCAGGACCCCAAGACATGGGCTTACATCTTCGTCACCTTCAGCTGTCAACTGGCAAATGGCGCTGTATCAGGATTCGGTCCTATAATTATCAGTTCGTTTGGATTTGGCCCGCTACAATCAGTTCTAATTGCAGGCTCCTTGGGAGGTACCTTATTCCTGTCCATGGTGGCAGCCGGGTAGGTCTACGATCATCTCACTAATATGAACCCTGCTGAATTTCTAACAGACTCATAACATCCTTTATCCCCAATCAGAAATGCAATGTTGCGTTTGCTACTTGCTTGCCAATTATCATCGGGTGCGCTATCGTTTGGAAGGCGTCGTGGAAGTCTCTTGGAGTACCACTTTTCGGCTTCCTGCTTGTCGGGTTTTTCGCTACTCCTTACGTGATGATTCTTTCCCTAGTTACCGCAAACACGGCAGGCCAGACGAAGAAGGTTGTTGTAACCGGATTGGTCTGGTTTGCATATTGCGTCAGTAATGGTGTTGCTCCGCTTCTTGTCAGGTCAACTGAGCAAGCGCAGCACTACCCTTCGCTTTTTATTCCTATTCTGTCTCTACTTAGCGTCGGACTGCTGGTTCTTGTTGCACTTAGATGGTACTTGAATGCTTGCAATAAGACAAGGGAGGCAGACGCTCTTTCCAATCGGGGGGACACTCAATCTCCTGATGAGACGGCCTCTTTGGATTTGACGGACAAGGAAAACCCGAACTTCCGTTATCATCTCTGAGTCAACATCCATCTGTAGGACTACTCATGATATTTAGCGCTTGATAATCTTTCAAATCCTTCTAGTATTTCCGCTCAGAACTGAATCTTACTATCTTTTACTTGTTACTGCCCGAAACCTGTACGTCAGCTGGCCAGAACATCGTGTTTGTTCTACAGGGTACCTCCTTTTGGGGGACCGACGGGCTTTACAAGTCCTATGTTGAGCTTTCCGATGCGCTGAATCCATATTTCGCAACGGAAACTAAGGCGGTGTTGTGGACCAAGTCACAGACTGGAAAGGGGACATGTCTTTCTTCACGGTTTTACAAAATGACTTGGACAAAGCGAATTCGGCGTCGGCCTACACCTACATTCCGAGTCAAAGGAGAGTGACCAGGGACATGTCTCTATACGTTGTCATCTCTGAACCTAGGTAACGTTGAAGGGGTATAAAGCGAAAAGAAAAAAGCAAAAGCGCGCCCACACAATGGTGCACTGACTAAGCGGGTTCTCGGGGCTTTTTACTTTATTTGCACCGGTTCGTCTCGGAGACTATGGGTAGCCCGAGATGTCAGTGATGGATACACCTAACGGTGGATCTTGTTCGCAGTGGCTATATATTCAGTGACCGGTTCATCTATAGAGTATTTGGCCTGTCGCATCGCTTCATCAATCTTAACATTCTCAGTCTCATCTTCTATAACGGTCACATTCTGAGATACAATGACTCCTATCAAGGTTGGTGTGATTGGGGTGACTGGGATGACCGGATCGCATGTGGCCGTTGAGTTGCTTAACAGAGGCCATCAAGTTGTCGGTATTTCTCGAAATCCCACCAAACTTGGCCAACACGAACGATACGAGCCCAGGGAAGTTGACCTCAAAGCCTTGCCTATTGAGGAAATAGCAACTGCTCTCAAGTCCTTGGATGTTGTCGTAAACGCGTACGGTCCACACACCCAACTTGGCGAAGCTTTATCATACAGTAAGCCTACACGTTCATTCAGCCCATACTCATCCATCAAGTGCTGATATCATTTTCAGAAAGCTTCACGGAGGTTACCCGAAAAATCCTCCTCGCTGCTAAAGTGGCTGAAGTACCATACTTCTTCATGATCGGCGGCTCTGGCATTATGAAAGTTCCAGATAGCCCATCTCTCACAGCGTGTGAGGATGAGAGATTCTATTACGCTTTTATTCGGGGAATACTCGATAGCGAGGCTTATGTGAAACATGCTCAAGAATGGGCCGGCGAGGACGCCGAAACGCTCTCGGTTGCTCGTCAAGCTTGGATGGCCGAGAAAGAGGGCAGAGGTACTGCCGAGACGCGGAAGATTATTGAAGGCGCACAGGGAGTCTTCGACATGAACGGCCCTGTTGTCGAGTTCCATCAGGGGGGGCGACTGACAGCCATGTTCTTCCATGGAAACACATCTTTCAAGTGGACTTTTATGTCCACCCCGGCATTGTACCGGCCCGGAAAGCGCACGGGGTCGTATGAGGTCTGTTTCGATTACATGCCCCTCAAACCTGCCAAAGGGCATGAGAGCGAGGTTGTCCTTTTCGAGGGCCGGCTGCACGGAATAGCACTTTCAGACATGGCCTTGGCAGTGGCGGAAGAAGTAGAGAGTAAGAAACATATGTGGAAGCACTGGTGCCCATATGTACCGGACTTGGATGACACCCCTGGCCCGGTCTACGTTAAGATCGGACATGTGTTTGTTTAGGCTTTAGCGGTTTAATTCACGCTGGCCTAGGTGACAAAATATGGTAACACCCTCACCGTAGGTGGGGAGGGTGCAATGAAGCCTGAAGGATGTAACTCTTTGTTATGTCATATGGAGACCATGATGGAGATCATGCGGTTATGGAATGGTTGATTGTTTAGAGAGCCAAAAGTTTCCAAAACAAAGCAAATCGGTACATATAATAGGGCGATGAAATCTCGACCCAGCTGGTCCCATAATTTCCGCTACCATGGTTCGAAACAATTGTCGGATTTCTACCACTATCAAAAACTAGGTTTCAGATACAAGCTTATACTTGCAGCCATTGCATTGTTGAGAGCCTGGGAAGAAGAAGATATGGATTGACTCGACGCACGACCGGCCCGAATGGGAATTCCCGTATTCATATCGTAAGAGACTATTAAGAGACTATCAAACCTCGTGGATTGCTAGCTTACGTTTCATAGGATCATAAACGGCGGCTCGGGGCAGTGCTGGGATAGTCGGCGTGTCTCGTACGGGTTTGAGGGTGTCGAGATCCGAACGAAAAGCTAGCTCATTGAGAAAGTTGGCTACGACACGCGTGTGCCAATGGCCGCCGCCCGTCTCGTACCAGCAAAGGTGACCACCCAAGGACGTCGTCAGAAGGACGGTATCGGGATTCTGGCGGAACTCCTCGTACGGAAGAGCTTCCTTCACAGCAATCTAAGAAATGTCAGAAAGCCCGCCTCTGTGCTGATGCTGTATGCGTGTTGTCTTACGGGATCATCGGTTGCGTGGATAGCGAGGAAAGGAACTCTGATTGATAGCACGGCGTCTACAGATGAGGCGTCTCGATAGTACGCGTATTCGGTGGGATAACCCCAAGTTGGGCATCTTCGCAGAGTTAGCATTGGTCATAAAATATTAGTGACAGTTCACAAACTCACTGCACTTCGCGATCGAACTCGTAAAGATATTTTATCTTCTCCGCGGTGGAGGTATCAAGGTTGGTGAACTTTTCAAGCTCCTCTCGATGGTCATGCATGAGCGACTTCATACAGCCTAAGGGAGGCCGGTCAACACTTGATTTAAGCAACCATGATGTAGTAGGGAAACATACTTCCCATGTACCGGAGGTAAATCTCTCTGCCAATAAGGCTAGCTTGTAAGAATTTGCTAGTAATTTCGAGATTGAAGGGGTTTGAGCAAACAACGGCTGCCTTGAGCATGCAGTCTGGACCTTCCTCCCCGCAGTACTACGGTAAAGAAATTAGCTAGCTTCACAACTTTTCTCGTTCATTGGTAGCTTACATTTGTAAGTATGTTGGCACCCAATGAGAATCCCAGCCCAAAAAGAGGTCTGTTTGGGAATGTCTGCCTCAACCAGGCGACGGTTTGCCTAACATCCCACGTAGAGCGCGCATTGTACAGCATGCCGCTCGTGATTTTGCTCCCTGCGCAGCCTCTGGAGTTGATTACACAAATCTCCCATACACCTTCCCTTATTAGAGGGGCAATAGTATGGCGTAAGTATGTTTCGTGTGAGCCTCCTGACAGTCCATGCAGAACGACAAGCATTGGCTTCTTATCGAATGAACCTAGGCTCTTTAGTTGTTCGTTCCCAAAGTATCCCGTGCGATTTGGGAGATCCGGATCCGAATCGTTGAAGGGTTCGACAACGAAATCCACCGCGAAGGATCCATGATATGTTTGGTGGTCAGCCTGGAACACCTTCCGTCGGTAGTAAACGGGCGGACCGTGTGCTTCCATCACCGCCCACATCGTCTGCATATGACCATTGCATAGCAGGGGATTGAGATGGCATGGTGGCGTTGCCTTCTCAACTATCTCCAGAAGATCTGTTTCCCAGCCATTCTTGTCTGTCACAACTCTAGGCGATGATGCGTGTGTGAACTCGATCGTGGCGCGGCCTATCCACTCCATTTTGGCGTTATAAGATAATAAGAAAAAGCGTCCCAGGGATAGTCGGGACCGGAGAATTGGAGTAGATACTGGGGACGATAGCTCACAACTGGAGCCGGTGGCTGCGAAGCTTACATGGATTGCGATAGATAGACGAACTTGAGACTAGCTCTAAAAGTCACTTATATTTTGCGGGAGTTTATACCGGGAGGGTTACGGAAGCTCTCAGGGTCGACAATCTGCGGACGGCCCGGAAGAGCTCTCTAGGTCTACATCGGCTGCAGCAGATAACAGCGTACACCACCGGTAACCGTAACATCGCTTGGAATTTGAGCGCTGAAAGACTGTGACGGGCCCCTGTTGACGATGCAGCCGTTGAATTGACTGGACCTACGGGTACTTTCGGATACGAAGTGCTAATGCTTACCAAGCTGGCATCGCTTCTTCTCACCCCCTTAACAACGATTTACCTTTATTGCACCCACCCTAGTCAACTGCATTGTAACCCTCTAAGAGATGTCTGCGTTGACCCCACCACAGGGGTATGAGCAAGAGTATCATGGTCGAATTCTGAGGTAGTATCAGTGTCAAGGCCGAGTCATTTCCTATCGGAAAGCCGTCACTTCGCCCTTGGTCTGCCCATACACTATTCCCCCGAGTCCACGTGTTATGTCAGAGGGATTCCGGGTTGATTAATCTATCTTCAGGGCGTTAACTTGGCCCTCTTTGTCTATGCATTAGTAGACCTCCCCAGGGAACAAAGAGGCGATGATGCTGTTCACTACTTTGTTTGCAACCGCAATTACCCGCGCAACCATAAGTCTGCACGGTGCGCTATTACTATCATACGTTTCCCTATTTGCTGTGTTGGGCATATTGTTACTCGCCATCGCCAGGCCTTCACGAGATGAGGTTCCCCTGTTCAGACCCGCGGGGTCATGGGCATCCTTCTATACAGCCAAGGTATGTTCGGCTCATTCTATTGGGACATGTGATGCGAGGTATATTGTCGAAACTAATCTGGAAGAGTGCAGCGCCGGTTCGTAACATCAAGTCGTGAAATTCTTTCAGACGCGGGAAAGACATTCCCAGACCGGATTTTCCGTATCATGACAGATTTGGGTGAAGTGATATTCCTCCCTCCCCAGTTTGCCGAGGAGATCAAAAGCGACCACAGGTTTAGCTTCACGACTGCGTTCGAAAAGGTTTGTGCCTTCCAGACCGCGGCCACTGGTTACTTCAGGTCGCTAATGTGCGCACTTTGTGTTCAGGATTTCCATGCCGGGATCCCTGGCTTTGAGACTGCCGAGCTTGGCGGCCTTGAGAACGGGCTGTTACAGCTTATTACACGGAAGCAGTTGACGCGAAATTTAGGCAAGTCTCATACCGCTCCAAGTGCAATGGGTCAACTGGGTAGTAGGAGGGCTGCCTAGATACTTTAGAGCTGACACTCAGTCATGCAGGCGAACTCAATATAGCTCTGTCCGATGAGACGGCCAATGCTTTGGCCATCAACTTCGAATCATCCGGAGGTAAGGCCCAGGACCGCGAAACGACACATTGAATGCTGCTAACAGAAGCCGCCCAAGTGTGGACTGAGGTCGTAGCTAAAAACCGAGTACTCGATATCGTGGCCCGCGTGTCCTCCCGAATCTACCTTGGCGATGAGCTATGCCACGATGAGCGATGGCTAGCAATCACTAAGCTCTATACGACTCATTTCTTCACTGCGGCTACCAAGCTCCGCATGTACCCAAGCAACGTCCGTCGTTTGGTCCACTGGCTTATACCTGAGTGCAAGCTTCTCCGCTCGCAGTTCAATGACGCTCAGCAGATTCTACAGCCCATCGTCAACCATCGCAGAGGCCTACGCCGTGCCACTCTAGCTACTGGCGAGTCGGTCCCTGAGTTCGGCGACGCTCTGGGCTGGGTTGAACGAGAAGCCGCCGCTAAGTCCGTCCACTGCAACCCCTCGATCTTCCAGCTTCTGCTATCGACAGTGTCAATCAATACCACGGCCGATCTTCTCGAACAATGCATGCTTTGCATCGCACAATATCCATCCATCATCAGTCCCCTCAGAGAGGAGATCTGCCATGTCCTGCGCCACCGCGGTTGGTCCAAATCCTCGCTAGCCAGCATGAAACTTCTAGATAGCGTCATCAAAGAGTCGCAACGTTTGAAGCCAACTAGTATCGGTGAGTAGGGATTCCTAGAAGAGGCGAAGCGCCGGCACGAGGCTGACTGCTAACTTCACTAAAGCGGCTATGCGACGACGTGTTGAAGAAAACGTCACGCTCTCAAATGGGGTTACTCTGAAGAGAGGCACGCGAGTCTACGTGGATGCCTCTCGAATGTGGGATCCCAATCTGCACCATCACCCAGAGCAGTGGGATGGATATCGCTTTCTGAAGTTGCGCTCCATTCCCGGCAGGGAAACGATGGCCCAGCTGGCGAGTACCAGTCCAGACCATCTCGCCTTCGGGCATGGTGAACATGCTTGTCCAGGACGATTCCTGGCGATTAGCGTTATCAAGATTGTCCTCTGTCACTTGCTGCTCAAGTATGATTGGATGCTGTCACCAGGCACAGACGTCAAGCCCGTTACAAACGGTATACTTCTCGTTGCAAGCCCTACGGCCCGGTTGCTTGTTCGACGGCGGAGAAGAACGGCGGCGGTTCCCGATGCGATTGGATGAAGGACAAAGGATGGGAAGGTGGTTGAAATCTCTGCGAATCACGGACGCAATAGATACACGTGCCCTTTTAGATCTTTGCCTTTTAGATAAGAGCACGTCTGTAGTTACGCACACGTATGCGTTATGCTTTATACACCTGTTTCATTATGCCGTTAAAAAGTAGTGAGCAGAGAGCTGGACACCCCGTCTGTGTGCCTACATGGCGACTTTGTTAGCTACCATGAGAGACAGGGACATTTTGAAGCACGACTTATGTACTGCTGCTGGAAACGGAAGACCCTAGTATATATTTTCTACTGCAAGCTGGTAAATCTATCCTCGTAAGACGGTACTCCTAGGATTAGCACAGCCTTAGGGCATAGTTTGTAGGTTTTGGCAAAGAGGGCGCAGAAATTAGGCTATTTTCATCTCAACTAGTTACTCAGAAACATAGATAGATACAAGACATTGATCCCTTCTCTCTAAAACTAGTACTATCCCCTCACTCCTTATTTACATTTCTTTTATTGATCTACCAAAGAAAGCGGCAATAATACTCCTACTATGGATAATAGAAAGAACGGTAGCTGGCACCTAATAATTCAGGATTGATGAAGGAGAGGATATCTACGTTCCCCCTACACGAGAAACCCTGACTACTCTCTTGTATCTACTTAAAATTAGGTATAGTTAGCAGTAGATAGACGTCCTTTGCCCCATTGAGGGATTTACCGACATAAAACAATAACAACAACGGCATCCCGTCTGCCCGATATGGCCCGAGGGCGTACGAATTCTTGCCTGAAGGAGGAACTGTATATGTCACTCGGGCCCCTTTGGAAGCCCGAACAAACAAACGGTGGCCTGATATCTTCTACGCGAGCTGCCGGTAGCCAGGTTCACTCCTTATCTGATGGAGGGTGGTTTGGGGTCTAGAACGGCACGACATGTTACAGCGCGGGCCTATGCATGATGCACATCATTCTCTCACCCCAGCCCGAGACCAAGGTTCAAGGATAGACCTGTCCTAATAACCTAAACACCTATGCCTTATTCGCCAGTTCCGCTCACCCGATGCGAGAGCGAGTACTACGGTGCCAACAGCTATCTTTGGAAAGTGACGCTGGCCAAGACAAAAGAAATTGCCTCAGCTTATCGCATTCACTTACACCTACGCGAAGTTTCTAGAGGCCTGGAAGCCTCGGTGCACTCGGAACGGGAGTAACCCCGTCAATGCGAGCTAGCTATTAAGAAACTACGCTGAAGTAATCGTGATGGCTGGATTGTAAGTGCAGTTTTCTTTTTTCACAACAAGAACGCGTGGATGATCATTTGGCGTAGTTTCCCATCTGACGTCAGAGACTGAAGGGAATTAACGACTACAAGCAGAGATAAAGGGAGAACGAAATGAATTCATGTACGAGACTAATTGATGTAAATTCAATAACTACTTCGAGTATCATGGCTAGAGACATAGACTGGAGCTCGTATTGGCAGTAGGGAGTGGCAGCAGTATACCTCCCCACGATTTCCGCAGAGACACAGGCGGAGCAGTTCCATCCAACGTCAGTGCTAGCCTAAACTAAACTGATGCTGCCTCAGGGCTGGGACGCCTTGGAATAAGGATTGCCTTCCAATGGCCGGTGGAAAATTGCATGGTGATGTATTGTCTGAAGTCAATATCCTGGCCCGAGACCTCGACAACATCGAATCTCGACAAGAGGTTAGCCGCAATCATCCTCATTTCAGCCCAGGCAAAACTAAACTCAAAGTTAGCCCACAGGACATCTGCGTTCATTCGTGGCAACTGATACGTACTTGATTCCAATACAGGAATGCTTGCCAGCGGAGAATGGATAATACGCATCCATACTGTATCGACGTTAGTTATACTGTCTTATGAAATGGCTGGCCGATGGGTCTGCCGTACTCTGCTGGAGGTGCCTCTCCCCTCTCTCCTTCAGGAAGGAAACGCTCGGGCCAAAAGCGTAGAGCTTGTGGAAAGTACTGCTCATTGCGGTGAAGGTCTCGGTAGGATGCCGAAACCACGGTATGGGGAGGAAGGTCATATCCCACGAGTTTGACCCACTGGTCTCCGGTGCGGCGACCCATTTCAGACGCTATGGGGTGTAGACGGAGAGTCTCTTTGATGCATGCCTCGAGGTATGTGAACTGTGGCTCGTTCCTGACGGACTTTGAAGTGACGATGTCGTCATTCATGTCCAAGACAGGCAGCGTGTCTAGCAGCCGGGCTCGCACGCTTGGGTTCCGCGCCAGCTCAAGAAACAGGCAAGCAGTTGTGCCAGAGGTGGTCTCAGAGCCCGCAAGGAGGACCTCTGACATCTGGTCCACAATGTCACGCGTGTTCATGGTAGTGAGTGTATCGGGCTTCTGGCCCTCATCCACGAGATGTTGAAGCAAGTCGGGTCGAGCGAAATCGGCGCTCCGATGGCGCTTCTGGACGACGGCATCGATCGCCTGCGCCAACCCCGTTAGCCTTTTCCTGAACATGTATCCCAGGTGTTCAACTGGGGGAGGTCTTACCACGATCATCTCTTTGGGCCAGTCAAAGTTGACATCCAACCCCATTGCCCTGAGAAATCTCTTGATATAGACTGTCTAGAGATGCATGTATTAGCAGCTCAAGTCGGTATGGCTTGGTGTAAATGAGTGATATACCTGGTATCTCTTACTGAGTCCATCGAAAATGGACCTAGGAATCGACTTCCAGACCTTCTCATCAACGCCATCTTCAATCTCACCGTCTGGATTCGTTTGTCCAAACCCTCTACCAAAAGAACACTCGCCCATACTATTTATCTAGCGTCAGCATCATATGGACATGAGGGTAGGGGCTATGGCTCACATATCGAGAGCCACATTATGAAGATCGTCCATCAAGTCGACCTCATACCCGCTCCGGGCCGGGTCAACAGGGCTAATACTGGCCTGGTACTTGTCAAGCAAGCTCCTGATCGTCTTAGCGAAGAAGACGTCTAAGTTGTCGACGTAGGAGACTGTGAAAGCGGGCGATAGAAAGCGCTTGAGCCTTTTGTGTGGCATGGGCCGGCTGTGGGAGGACCAAGACCGTCCGTCAGTTTTGTTTTACAGGGTGTGGGGATGGGGACATAAAAGCACTCAACGCACATTTCCCCAAAGAGGCCAGGACTTCGTCTGTCTCGAGAGATTTCAGCGTACATCGCCACTTTAGGTAGATCGACCTTGAGTAGGATCTGCTTCATAGCCTCTTTGTCCGAGATCCAGACCTGGCGAGGCCCAAGGCGAACAATAGGTCCGTAGGTTTTGTGGCTCTGCTCCACAAGCTTCCAGATCTTCCCGGTAGCAAAGCCATACCGCAAGTGTAGAGTGGTGAAGGGGCTATACCACGGCCCCGGAATATGGCGCAAAGGGGACCTAAGCGCCCGGAAAACCCCGTACAGGTACTGCAGAACCAAAACCAACACAGGAGTCACAGTGAGAATGGCAAGGAGCCTTGTGACCTGCCAAGGAGTAATGTTGACTTCCATAATGGAACAAGAGCAGACGATGACGTGAATAGAGCAAGATGAAAATGGAGCTGGACGAGAATAGAGCTGGATGGGGTGGAGGAATTTGAGTTGTCTGTTCTCCCGGGAGGAAAGCGTGCAGGTTACGCCCCTACTTATAGGCTGCCCTGAGACACCCCCATTGCCTTTATGAGAAAGGAAAACCTGTTTCCTAATGTAACTGTCTTATCTGAGTAGTACTCGCCTTTTCCCTCATTATATTACTATTTGTAAGCTGGCTTTGCAGCGGCATCATCCGACTATGACGCATCAACGGAGTGTCATCGTTGCAGGTCATTCTCGTTCTATATGAAAGCATCATTGTTCCTAAGACCAAGACTCATTATCGTTGCTTCAACAGACAAAGTTCTAACTAGCAGCGACCGGCACCCCAAATCATCGCCACGACGCATTAGAGCAATGAACTTGAACGAAAAGCTCCCTGGTGTTGGTTCTGGCTATGGCGAGGTCTGTTGCTCTCATAGACATTGTGATTCATTTCTCGCTTGCCACTCCCAGCCAGAATGGCGTAAAATATTGACACAGTTTACTTAGGTGCCCGACATCAAGACCCTTCGAAATAGCATCCCAGCACACTGCTTCAAGCCTTCCACGTCAAGGTCTCTTGCCTATCTAGTCCGCGACTTTATAATGGCTGGTGCTCTTCTCGTGGCCGCCACTCGTTTGATACCAACCATTCCCTTTCCTATCATCCGCGCAACGACTTGGGTACTGTACGGATTCTCCCAAGGCCTGATTGGAACAGGGCTATGGATCCTCGCCCATGAGGCTGGACACGGTGCGTTCTCAAAATATTCCCGCCTCAACGACTTAGTGGGCTGGATCACCCACTCGGTATTGCTGGTGCCGTATTTCTCGTGGAAATTCTCGCACCACCGGCATCACCTGTTCGCTGGCCATTTAGATAAAGACATGGCCTTCGTACCCGAGATTCGCAGCGGTGACTCCCACCAGGCACATGTGTCGGTCATAGACTGGGATCTGCTCGAAGATATACCAATCGTGCAGTTTGTCCGTCTCGTTGTCCACCAGTTATTCGGGTGGCCACTATATCTATTTTTCAACATGTCCGCTGGGAAGGGTAGCCTGCAAAGGCCGACAAGTAATGTATTCCGTCAAAGCCATTTTGACCCTTACAGTGCGGTGTTTCGCCAGAGCGAGGCCATCTATGTGATCTTCTCTGACATAGGGGTTGGGCTCATGCTTGCGATCCTCTATTGGTCATGGGCGAAAGTGGGTTTCCTCACTCTCATCCTAGTATACGGCCAGCCATATCTTTGGGTTCATCACTGGTTGAGTAGGTTCCTGGATGAGCGGCCCCCATCTCACACAGACAGCTGGTGCTAACAGGTGAACAAGTCGCCATAACATATCTGCATCACACGCACGTGGATGTTCCCCATTTCAGCGCCGACGGCTGGACGTTTGTCAAGGGGGCTTTGGCAACGGTCGACAGAGATTTCGGGTTCATTGGGCGCCACCTCTTTCATGGAATCATCGAATACCATGTAGTCCACCACCTTTTCCCGTAAGTCTATCAGGGCTCTGAAACCCAGCCGCCGTAACCCGCAATGGTCCTCTAACCTGCTTAGCCGCATCCCATTCTACCACTGCGAAGAAGCAACTGAGGCAATAAGGCCCTTGCTGGGACAACTCTACCGGCGAGACAACTCCCCTTTCCTCCGGCAACTCTGGACAACGTTCAACTCATGCAAGTTTGTGGAGGATGACGCGGAGGAACCCGGAGTGGCAAAGTGGGCCACAGAGGGGTGAAGGCTTTTACAATTCATACGTATAGTAGTCAAGATGCGATGGGGCCTGGTAAGAGGTGGCCGACGGGGGTTATGGTGAAACGCTCGTCATCAGTGTGCAAGATGAGCGAAGAGAATCCGGAACCGAAGCTAGAATAGAGTGAGGCCTTTGAGATAGGAATTAAAGAACGCCCCACGCCTTCAGGCCGGGGTTTGATTCGACCGTCGTGTTCCGTACAGCCGGCGTATCGCGCTCGACCCTGTATTGACTAGGGGAAACCTGTAACGATCAATTCACTCGGCAAAAGGAAACCATTAATACCTGGTTTCTAAAGTTGACCCTGCATGCCGTTACACACCCCCGAGCTGTTCCGGCATGGATAACGAGTACTTACATTCAGATTACATTAGTCTTACACACTGCTTTTGAAGGGTTGGTATCTGGGGTAGTAATGGATGTACCTTCGAACCTTGAGCTATAATCACATAATTTGCATAGTTTCATTGAGAAGTCACAGGTTTTAGCTAGTGTCATCTAATCCCTCCCGGTCTCATAACGATGACGATTAGGTCACTAAGCGAAAGGAAGTGCTCAATACTAGCTTTGTCAGGTTGACCCTATATGTCACCGGAAAGCCTCAGTCGGTAGTTGAGTACTATCGCCCGGAAGGCGGGGTTCCCGCACCTTGGAAGACCCCGAGGGCGGGGCACCAGCTACGTCAGTTGCTTCAGAGGAGGAGGTTACAGCCAGGGGTCGGAATAACGGGAGGTTGCCGCAAGCTGCAAGAGTGACAGGCATGCGGGGCGGCCCGGCCCTGCTAAAACACCCCAGCGGCCGACCGCATAGTTGCCGGAGCTAATGCCAAACCCATCAGTTGAACCCGTGAAGTCTACGGACTTCGACCGAGCGCAAGGGTAATCAGTCAGCTCGGGATGAATGTGTCTCCGGCCTAACAGAACTAGGATGTGCTTGGTCAAGCCAACCCAGCCTTAAGGTTACATTGGTCAAGATAGGGTCTCTCTCCCGGCCTCCCGCCGAAAACTGAGTCTGACCACGGGGTAGATGAACCCACCTCAAAGCATCAAGGTCGCTACGGCGGAAAGAAACGGTGGAGGACTCCTCTGGATGCAGCAACACGCGGAGATTCTTCCCTTATCTGGCCGGGTGATATACGGGTAGCATTCAATGTAACATCTTTGCCGATGCAACTTTGCCCATAGGCTTCTTTGTGCGCCCGTTTGGGATCGTCTTCTCGGCACATCTAGACAGTACCCTACCCACTACGATGGCCTGCTCTGCTATTGCACATGGCCACGCTCCGTGGATTGATTGGTTGCTCGTACCTGGCTCGGTCTGGGGCCAGGGACTACCCGGTCGGTTGATAGGTTTTGGGGACAGGGGCCATGGTGTGCATGACAGCGTATGAGACACCTCGCTTACCAGCCAATTTAGAGAAAGCCTATCAAACGCGAGACAAATGAATGCATATGAAGGCCCCCGCGCCCTGCTTCCTTGTTAGCTATTTCGCCGCTGAAAATTCTCAGAAGTCCCTCAGTCCAGAGAGGTGCATCCCATGAATCCGATGGATGGTGTCGGATGTACGAGGTCTTCTGAAAATATGTCTACTCAAGTTATAGGCCATATGGCTATGTTCGGAAGTCTGGGAAGGCTCTCGCAACATCGCCCAGGGTACACTTGAATCACGGTGGGACACGACCGGCAAGAATGTCGAGGTTACACTCGAGAATCGGATAAGCATGGCCTTGAAGACCCAGACGACTCCTTATTTAGTACCCTGATATCGGGGTTTGGAGAGCTACGACAACGGTTAGTGGCACTTTTAGTACGTTGAGCATGTAGAGACGCACTCAGGCATTGTGCTAATCGCGCATGGAAAGACTCTCAACGTAGCCTATCAACAATTTATTGCCAAAGCGGATGGAATTGCCGCCAACTAGTCTTACAGAAGATTTCGTAGACGAGTGATGCGGCCCATAACATGCTGTACCCTCAAGACACCCTCGTCTCCTGCCTCCTGCGCGGCCTCATACGCCATGCGGTAAACATGTAACGCTTCAGAAAACAATGGCCGATGATCTTTCCACCCCGTGGCTCTCCTCAGCTTGGTTGAATCCACCCATTGAGGGAAGTTGACCAACATTGGCATCCATAGCACCGCTTCTCGCCCCTCTGCGTCGACATACTTAGGGTGGCCCTGGATATTGTACTCGGCAATCAGTGCTCTGGCGATTTCGTCCACCGTTTCATACCGATGTGACGAAATATTGAAGACGTGACCGCGCACCTCGTCCACCCGAGGGTGGGATGCAATGGCAACGTAGGCGTCGGCGCAGTCGTCAACATGCAACGCGTGGATGATATGATTTGGCGGAGCCTCCATGACAAGCCTGCCCCCTTGATCCGCCATTTGCTTAGCGACGGCAAAGAAGTTCTGGTAATAAGTCGACCCCCTCCCGAAGACGTTGGTAGGCCTTACCAGGACGGGTAGGAAAACGTCTGTATGGTTGAATATGTTGACCGAGTGCTTCGTTCTAGCCGCCACGACGGGCGGCGGTCTGAGTGGCGTCTCTTCTGTATGCGGAGGGGGCCCAGGCTCGCCGTGTATATGTGGCCCTATCCCGTAGTCTTTGCACCCCGAGGTGAAGATGACAATCGGCTGTCCCCCGGCGGCGGTACTGGAAGCACCCAGAAGGCGAAGCAGGTGGATGGTGTTCTCGAAGTGAAACCCGTAGTCCTTCAATGATTCGGTCGTAGATACTATGGCGTCGAGGCGTGCTGGCAGAGCTTTGCGAATACTCTCATGGGTCTCTCTAGAATCAATGGTCCCAACTATAGGGATGATCTCTTCCGCTGCGAGCTTCTGCGCGGACAGAGGAGATCGGATAAGGCCATACGTAAGCCAGCCAGCGCGGACGAAGGCTCTCGCGACGGCATTGCCGATGTAGCCGTTCGCACCAGTAACCAAAACAACATGAGTCGTCATAGTCGGCGGTCCAGTCGGAGCTTCGAAAGAAAGTGTATAATGGGGACGAAGAGAGTGTGTGGCCACTTGTAACCGTTGACTATCAAGAGTATTACCTGAATCTATCGCGGTCGATGGAAGCGTGCGCCTATTAAGGCGACGGACGAGGTGGCGGTCTCGAGTTTCAATGGTAAAGGTCGAACCGCGATCGGGAAACTCCGGGATTATAACACCGGGATTTACCAAATAGGGAACTTCCACAGTTTCATGTGCGTCTCCTAGAAACCCCACATTCTTCGTCCGCTTGTTATTGCCTAACTTGACTGTGACAGATCATCTTGAAGAGCAATTTCTCCAACTATGCAGCACCGTAATAATGATTCTCATCGAACAGACTCGCTGATCCTAGTATATTATATGCGAGCGTGCCTATTCTGACTTCCTCTCTATTTCTTATATCCTCACCCCATAACTATCATCCTTTCCATATCACATCTTCAACAGAAACATCCATCATACCTCGTAGGCTATTAATAACCTACTTAATAATTTGAATAAGCTCATTCGCAGTAGTAGTATAGTTAGTAAAGTACACTAGTCGATTTTAGTACTTCTCTGGCTACTCTACGACAGCCATAACGGCTTCACCATGTATGTCCAGGCGACTAAAAGCACATCTATAATTGCTAGAGCTGAAATAAGGTGATAATACATTTCAACCAGTCGACCTAAAAGGTTCCTTGGTGAGTGCCCTAGCCAAACCATCCGCCAGTGATAATGGCTATCCATGCAAGCGCCCTATTACTATCGGTGACAAGAGCATCTGTCTCTCGTTACGTACGTAGTTTTAGCCCGTAGTTCGGAATATCATTAGCGTTTGGATGAAGAGTGTCAAGAGCCAAAATCGGGGTTAGTGGGTAATTAAGTGCGATGCTCCGGAGACAATAGCTGTATGCATAATGTTGCTCTGGTGTGCGGCCCCGTTCGGGTTAAAAGTTTTAACGGTAGCGTCTATGCCACTAAGAGCGTCCGTGATACAGGATAGGCTAATGTAGTATGGCCTTTTTGAATATAGCATCAGGGAAGCTGGGAGCTTGACCTCCTGGGCGACCCGCAACGGTAACAACGAGTCCCCGCCATACATAGTTTTTTCCAAACCGAGAACTGGTTGCTAAGTGAACCTACTTGAAAGGGTCGGTTCACCTATATCGCAAACTTGCCTGGAGGAGTATGATAGTATTGCATTTCACGGATAGAGCAGCAAGGACGCAGCTGAGAAAAGCCAAAGCTAAAATTTGATTATTACCTACTCCCACCCCAAGAATTTGGTGTTGGGACATTGTTACTCCCAAAGAAGCTCTCCACCTCCACCGTCAATGGTGCAGTTTTTGGCGCTTGTTTGCATTACCGCGTTTAAACTCCCCAGAGTACAACTTGAAAAAGTCGGTAGGCTCCGTTGCATGTTCACCTGTAACATCATGGAACGCTGTGGTGCTGATGTAGTTTGTCTTGCCCTCTCGGACCAAACTGTAATATTCCAGGATGTACTGTTGCTCCGAGTCGTCACTCTCAGATTGTTTCTTAAGAACCCTCTTGGCCTCAGCTCTGCGTAGATTGGGGTACTGGTTAGCGTTCGGAAATTTTAAATAATAAAAATACCAGAATTTCTTTGCTAGTTACGTACTCTGAAATGTCTTCGAATTCCAGTTCGCTCCCCAGAGCCTGACTTGCAGCTTCAGCAAGTTCCTTTCCTGCACAGAGCATTGGCCCTATAAGAAACAGCGGTCAGCAAATGATTTCTGAATTTAGTATATCACAGTTATTCTCACCGGTGACAACCATCATTTGCCCACGGTGTCGGTCATCGAAGCCATGTTCGCCTTTGCCGCTCAGTACTTGAGCTGCGACGAATGCAACATCCTGAGCAGAGTCCAAATTAAAACCTTGTATCACCGGCAATACTGTTTTGAACTAAACTTACACCCAATGCCACTGGTGCGAATTTGTGATTTTTGCCAATTGGCAGCGGAAGAACACCCTCTGATTTGGCTTGCGGGGCGTATAGCAAGAGGTTCTCAGCGTAGAAACCTGCCCTAGATATGCAAAATGTATTAGCTCGAGATGCTAAGGAATATGCAAAGCACTATATTTCCGTACCGGATGACACATGGCGAGTGTCCAAGCTCAGTGGACGCGTCCCCTTTGCTAGCTAGTGTCAAGTTCTCTAGCTCAATGAATTCACGTAGATGTGGTTGCGTTCTGGGATCCGCATAGTCGCAACCCACGGAACTAACAAGGAGAACATTGGAGATTCCCGATTTTTTCGCCGCGGTAATTAGCTCAACCGAGATATCCCGCTTGTCCTTGTGAGCTGGGGGAATCAGACAGATGGTGTCACATCCGGTATCCTGCAGCGTCTTCCTCATGGCTTTCTCGCGACCTGGAGAGTGTTTTATGACTTTGGCACCTCGCTTACCAAGCTCTTTAGCTTTGCTAGACGTCGGATCCAAGGCTAGAGCAGTAAGTGAGTCGATTTTGGTGGAGAAAGGCTCACTGAGAAGTAGGTCGGCGATAGCAAAGCCAGTATTGCCATCAGCAGCTGAAATGCATACGTTCCGAGGCATTTTTTCTCCTTCCCGTAAGGTGAATTTCTCATTTGATGTAGTTATGAAAAAGTTATCTTACTAATAAGAAATGTAAGCTGGATAGTTGAGCGCAATTGAAGACCACACTGACGGGTTAATTTACATACCCTGTGAGGATGCATGAGGATGCAAGTGACAACACTATATAACTGTCTGTCATTAACTACAACTTTCGATTGCTATAACCTACTGCCTTCCTCGGAGGCATACGTTGAGAGTAATGATTCATTAAAATATCTACCCCGAGCTTGCATGAGCGTCTTATGACATAACCTCTGTTCTGCATGTCGTTCGTGTGACGCAAGCATACTTCAGCCTCACTAATAAGGTTTCGTTCATCCCTTCTTTGCTAAGGGCTATACGCGTTTACCTGTCGCGAGATGTTCCAAAGAGTACTGTCGCTTTTAAATGATGAATTAAAAGCATGAAGGCCATTCTATTGTCGTAAGTAACGCGAGTTGCTGCTTGGTTGGCGAGCTGCAGCAATTGTACGCTCCTCAAGGAATTGTTAAGGGAACGCCGCCACTCGAGGTGCCGTGTATTGGAAAAGGGGTGTCAGGGTATGGTAGTGGTTGCGGTAGTATTCGTAGCAATCGATATTTGACTACGGGGTACCTGTGTTCCAGTATTGTTTTTTTTTTTTTCGCCGTAAGCAGGGGCATATATAGTGATGGGGAAAAGACGTCAAAACGGGGGTCAAGGAGATCCCGAAGTGCATGGATCAAAGATGTAGAATTTTAGTCACGTCATAGCGTGTGCTAAATGGATGGGCCCTATAGCCTGGTCAAATAAATGAGATCACACCACGACCAATTGACGTGGATTGGAGACATAGCTCATAGGGTTCAGAGATCAAGGTGGCGATAAGATGAGCTGTCCGAGTCGTCGCGGGCATGGAAGGGTGTGTGCCGTGATGGCCAACCAGAGCTGGTCTGACCAGTCCAGTCGGGGTTTCGACCTTGATTGGCGGCTGGTGATGTGCGCGAAGCTGATTTGACGACAGCTCAAGCATAGCTGTTGTCGCGGATGAGGTCATACGTTGTTCATATTGGGCTGCCATGGCGCGGGGCGGGGAAAAGCCTGCGGGGTTGCGCGACAAGGCAGTTCAGGATTGTGAATTAGGGTTAGGGCTACAGAGGGCTCAGCGAAGTCGGAATAACATGGATACGTTGTGAAGATATGCGAAAAGAGAGCGGTCAAAATTAGAGACCGAGATTGGTGGCAAAGTTACCTCTCTCAGGCCCGATGAGAGGACTAGTTTTCGAGCGTCTCCATGTGCAAGTCCCTCCCCTCTAATATTACACAACAATTTTAAGTTCTAAGCCCCGCACACCCGACACTAGCTGCTGGGCTAATGGCCCTAGCACCCTCCCAAGTCTTCCAGAAATAGGAGGGCCGTTTCCAACTCAAGCCCATCTAGATCCTCGATCTCTACGTAGCAGAGCTGAAGGGCCCTTTTGGTCAGATTGAGCCCCCCCCCCCCTTTTTTTAGCAATATTTCCGAAGGATGGATCATGGACCAGCCACCCACAGTAACCCTAGGTTTCTCGCCTAGAATTTCTAAAGTGTGGGCCTTGAAGGTGATGCAGTGATGACGTGAACGAAAATGACGTAACCTTATCACAAGCAGAGGCCTACCTAGGGATATGTTAGCACGTCCCGAATGACGCATGCGGCAAGGACAACAGCTTTTAAATAGTAAAAGTTTGGTGGCGAACTGTCGAAATCTATGCCAATTTATTACCGCTCAAACGCTCACCCCTGCGCCTCCATTCATCGCTTCGGTCCGGCGTTCCGTATGATGTCTACTTCGAAACACAGCCACAGGCTAGCTCTCACAAACGAGCCTCCCAGCAGGAAGCGTAACAACCACGTTCCCTGGTCCGACGCGTTAAAAAGTACACAGCAAGTCGCCAATACCAGCATCTCCAAACGACCGCGAAATTTCCAACATGGAGACGGCTGGGATGGCAGATCGTCCCCGTCGGAAAGTTCAACCGCGAACGAAGATTCTTATAATATGCTGGACGGGTGTCAGCCTAGGGATAGCGTCTCTTTTGGAGAATTCTTGAATCTCAACTGCGTTAGTCGGTCCGGAGCCAATTGCTATCTTAATCATGGGTGGGGCGACTATAACTCGGTCATGGGTCTCTGGGAGAACGAGTTGGCTACTCCCGCTTACTATGAGTACATGCCGTATCTTTTCAATGAGTCAATTGGTGGGAAGATTCAAGATTATGCGAGAGAAAATTGGAGTAACGCTTCCGCTAATTCCAGACTCTCTGGGGCTAGCTTGCTAGTTGGTCCAAAGATGCTCCCTGATACTACCATGTATCCTATATTCGGTAACGGTCTCGTCTGGGACTTCGACACCCAATCCTTCCAGAATATGCAAGACGGTCTTCAATACTCTCAATCGGATGTGGCAGAGGGAGGGACAATCGCATACTCGCTGGCAGAGGTGAAAACCGAACCGTCGATCGCTGGAGATTCAGGAATATGGAGGCAGGAGTCAAGCCCACCAGGCTCATTGGCAGAGCAAGAGAACTTCGAGATGCTGGAAGAGGAAATAAAGCCGACCGCATCGAGGACGCGGAGGCAGCATACAGGTAAGATCGAACAGACTGATGAGCCTTGGAGGGACCGCAATCGCATAGACGAGGCTGTATATGGTATTGGCAAGTTGGAGGATCGCTTAAAGGATTGGAATAAGCGACAGATGGACGCCGTTCGAGAAACCTCAATGCACCACCCGTGGTAGTTGTTGTTGTTGTGTATTTAACGCCGGGGGATCCCTGGGGAGGGCAAAGGGCGTCTGTCTACTTCTATCTAGTAGTATATACAAACTGTCTTGCCCTTCGTAAGTATTCCATAGTCCTAGATAGCTAGCTAGAGTAGTTTAATGTTCTTATTTAATTCTTTGTCCTTAGCAGGCGTCGGACGTCAATAAGGTGCTTCGGCGCTGTGACTGTGTGTATTAGAGCTTGTTCTTGGGCAGCAGCTGTATCCTGTGGGACTGAGTGTCCTATCGGGTGCAGATGCTATCAAAGAAGTCCTTCTTAGTCCTTGCGATGAAACTGTCCCATTTAGTCCCAAGCTCCTCCTCCCTGTGCACCATCCGTGGTAGTACTAGTAGAAAGATGGAGGAGATCAAAATATATGTACAGTATAGAATGAGCCAGAATGAGCCAGAGGGCCAGCTCTTAATATTCCCTATTATACACTGCTTTATGACTATCCTCAGATAATAGAGCCGGTGGGCAAGATAGCCTGGGAAAATGGGTATGACTCTTCATAAATCACAATTCCTTCGGTCGCTACTCCCTTTTGACCCCAAGTCTGCCTACGTTTCTGAGCCCCCCAAAACTCACCAAAACTGCTCAAAACCCATGCCACAGTTATACCACCAGCCAGCCTTATAGCCTCGCAGCACCTCCTCTTTCATATCGGCACCCTGCGTTGGCGTAGCTATATGCTGAGCGATAACCGCCGTAGTTGCGATTCCGACACTCTTGCCGATCTGTGAAAGCATGCGAAAGACGCCTCCAGCGAGGGCCTGCAGCTTGACCGGAAATGCGGCTGTCACTACCAAATTCGCGATGACATATATCAGGTCGGCTCCCAGTGGGTTCAGAGCCATCGCCTAGAATACCGCCTCCCAGTAACTCGGTCCGTTAACTCGACACAAAGTCGCCAATAGAAATGGCCCAATACCACTAACAAGGCAGCCTGCAGCCACTGTGAATGATGGGTTGAGGCGAGAGAGGAAGATGGCGACAGCAACGTTCATCAGGGCGCCGCAGATAGGAGCAGGCAGGAGATAGACCGACGATGTCAGAGCTGAGAAGCCGCGAACACCTTGCAAGTATAATGTCGTTAATTGCTCGCTAGCGTTAAGAGCGCCCTAGACTAGAAACACGGTGGCGCATACAGCTGTGAAGGGTCCGTTGGTCCAGAGACTGTTAGGAACCAACGCCGGTCGGCCACGTTTTGTCTGGAAGTGCATCCATATGCCGAATACTGGTAGCAGTATAAACGCAACGCATAGAAGAGCCAGGTTCAGTGGCTGGCGTATATGTCGTTCTGCATGCGTCCTCGAGAAAACTGCGAGTTCGTAGGATAGAAGTGCCAGGCTCGCCCTAACTATCACCGCACCAACCCAGTCAATCTCTTTAGGGAGACGGACAACCATAGCCCATTCGAAGGAACCGCCGTCAATCCCAGATGGCAACTCCCAAAGAGCAAGCGCCAGTATAGCACCGTTGAGAATTCCGGTGGTATAGAATCCCCAGCGCCAACCGATCGTGTCGCTGAAGATGCCGCCTAGCACGAGCCCCAACCCGAAGCCCATAGCCTGGCCGCCGCCCATGACAGAGAAGGCAGCGCTTCGACTGCGCGGCCTGCTGGCGGCAGGGAAGCTGCGAGATATGATTCCAACTGCGCTAGCAGCCTGGACCAGAGTACCGACGAAACAAACTCGTCGACATCCCAGCACATCAGTGACTGTTCCGCAAAGCAGCAGAGTGCAACCGCACGCAAGAGCAAAGGCCGAAGCGGGCCAGAGCTGCAGCGCCGGCGGTATGCCGAGGTCGGCTGAAGTGACGGGAATGCAGACTGTCAGAAGCCCAGCGAGGAGGTTGCTGATGCCGGTGATACACGTGACACAGGAGATTATAGCAATTGTTCGGCTTTTTGATACGGCTAGATCAGTTCCAGGTTCTTCAACCTCCAGTATGGCTGTGGGAGCGCTTGTAGCGGTGCCTGGGTCGGTTGTGATGGAAGGATGGTGCATAATGATTTCCTAGTGTCTTGCACAGGGTGAAGTCGTTATAGCTATGGTCTGTATTGAATAGGTGAGGATTGCGTACTTTTATATAGTTATAGTTTATATGTAATTATCTAAGTTTTTATAGTATTAAAAGTTTATTATAGGCTCAAATTGTTTTTAAAAAGATTATGTGATAAAATCAGGTGTATGGTATGGCCTGATCTTAAGATATGCCCCTTCCTTTATAGCAAAGACAATAAACAATATAATTATAGCGTTAAGCTAATAGAGTTTATTTTTTACCTTTATTATAATTATATTAAGATATTAGGTCTAGCCTCTTCTATTATTATTTTTTACTTTATACCTAATCATAGTACAGTAGTAGGTATAGTACAGCGGAGTTCCTAGATTGCCTATAATTGGTGTTACTCATTTGTTTTCCCTTCGGTCGCATCACAACCAACCGGTTACAAGTAACGCCGTGACACCTCTTCGGGTTATCTCCATAATCATAGAACATAAGTTTATGGTACGTGTTAGCTTTTATCAACCCTTTTCCTATTTTCAGCTACCTAAGATTGAATGTCCATTCTTCTTTCTCCCTGTTTCATGCCGAATACTCATTTCAATACTCTAACTAAATCCGATCATTCTACAGAGCATTCTTCCAGACCACGTTGGCAACCTTTCGGACCAAGCTCAACTTCTCCCACATCCGCTCTTCACTCGCCACACCGAGGTTCTTCTCAAAGCTAGCAAAGCCACACTGGGGACTCACAGCCAACGAGTCGGCCAGGACTTCCTCGGGACTTCGACCCTGGCCGGCGGCAATCGCTCGAGCCGCCTCGTGTACCCGGCTCTCCAACACTTCCAAGTCTTCGAGCTCCGCGTGCTTCGTCGACACGAGACCAAGAACCATGTTCTTGCCTATAGGGAGGTGCTTCAGGCAATCAAAGCTACCCGAGCGCGCATCGTCGAATTCAAGGTAGAATGTGTCGTAGTCGAGCTGCGTCAGGACTTTCTCCGCAATACTGTCGTACGATCCCTCCAAGAATCCACCTGTACCGGGTATGTTGCCTCTGCAGAGATGAACGCCCATGTGTAGGTCCTCGGGACGGTCTTTGATAGCCTCGTTGTGCGCCCATATGTATAGATCCAGGAGCTTGTCTGGGTCCTCGCCGTCCTGTCGAAGGCCGTTCCTGAAACCTTCCGAGACAAAGTACGTCAGATGGGGGTCGTCGACTTGAATCGATCGTAGACCTTCGTCGTAGAGCATCTGAACTTCTCGACGGAAAGCCGCCGCCAGGTCAGAAAGATACTCCGCGTCTGTCTTATAGACACTGGGCGCATAAGCCACGCCCGGCGCAAGCTGCATGTGCTGCCAAGTGATTGAGGGCATTGTGATCTTGCAGTCCTTCCAGAGGTGTGGCGGTACAGTGCCCTTGAGCATTTTCCATCCAGAAACGTATGCGGGGGCAACATGCTTAATCTTGCCTTTGGCCACGACGGCGGGAAACGTGTTGACCCCCAGCTTGGCCATGTGCTGTGTCGTCGGGAGCTCTGTCCTAAAGTCCTCAGGTATCCGGAAGTGACGGTTGACCTCCATGCCGTCAAGGCTCTCGAAGAAGCCGCTGAAGAAGCCCGTCCGCTCGTACTCGCCACTGGTGATGGGCCGGATGGAGAGGTCGAGCTGCTTCTGTACAGCCTGCGCAATCGCCTCATTGGTCGCTGCCAGTTGTGCCTCGGACAACTCGTCAGAATAGACAGCGAGATCTTTGCGAGCGTTGAGTAGAGAATGTGGGCGGATCAGGGACCCTATCTGGTCCATGCGGAAACGCGGAGCCATGATGGTTTAGAGTTGTCCTCGGTCAGAGCGAGTTGAAGTGAAGAGAGATGCCAGACCCGACAGTTGGCGGAAGTAGTACACCTTATATAACCCGAGCTGGGCATATTCAGTTCATGCTCGATTGTTCCACCCAAAGTCCGGATTTTTAACTGCTGTAATGACTTGCCGATCAGGCCGCTGTGGTCCCCACACTACCCCACCTGGAAAATCATTAGGTACTGGCGACCTCCCACATTTTTCTTCCCGTTCTGTTGCGCTTCATCTTATGGCCCTGGCCAAACCAACCTGCACCAACCCCACATTCTGAAACCCGGGGGTAGGATTGAGGTTCTGCGACGCTATATAATGGGTAAACCGCTGATAACTAGGCAAGGATTTCCTTTTGCCTAGTGGCCTAATCTGTGACAGGTTTGTAATATGTTGCTCAGGCTCTCAAATTTACAAAAAACCAGCTCAGCAATAAATACCCGTCGAATAATAGCAAATCCACTCCAAGTGCCAAGAATATTACGAAATCATTGCAACATCTTTTCTCATCGCTAAATCTTCAAGCTTAGAGCTTGTCATAGAGGTTCTTGATGAGCTCCTAAGTAGATATAGAGCCCGGCGAAATAGACGTACGACGCTTCATCGTACAGGGCTCAGAAACATAGTCATTAGCCGCTTTGTCCATATGCTTTAGGGACGGAGAGCGTTTTCTGAACTGAACTGTGAGTATAAAACCAGCTGGGCTTAGGCTACAAAGATAGTTTAGAATACTTAGGCAGTATGCATATAAACCCTTCTTTATATATATATCAATAAACTCTGATTAGCTGCTTTTGACAACTTATAGCTTATATGAAAGCATTGGTAAAATAGACTACATAGTTTAAAGCGAAGACGTTTTATATTCTCCTCAGTCTACCTAACCCGCACTTCTAGCTAAAAAGCGAATTGCAAGCGAAAGTCACCTCAATATCAGTCGTGCAGAAAGCTCTCTTCAAATGGATAATGAGTTAGTAACTCATAGCCTGTCTCAGTCACAAGCAGTTGATTCTCCAGCTTGATACCGTCCTTGCCGCCGACTTCGCCAACATAGGCTTCGACACATAGCACCATACCCGCCTGAAGCTCTCCTTCGTAGCCGTAAGAATCCAAATCTTCTGGGTAGCGGATGCACGGGTACTCGTCGCACAACCCTACACCATGGAACATCACTCCATAGCGCTGAGCGCGGCAGCTTTCAGGGAGACGGTGGCTGTTGCGTGTCAAGTCCGTAAAGCGTACACCGGGCTTGACCATCTCTATATTCGTTGTGATGTGTTCGTAGGCGATGCGATACAGGCGTTTCTGTTCAGCTGTAGGCTCGAGGCCGCCGCAGATCCAGCTTCGCGACATGTCGACACACATACCATATACACCGATAAGGTCGGTGTCGAACGACACCAGGTCTCCGTCCCGAAGTACTCGCGGCCCGGATTCCTGATACCAAGGGTTTGTGCGCGGCCCAGAGTTGAGAATGCGAGTTTCAATCCATTCACCGCCACGGCGAATATTGCCAGAGTGCAGAGCAGCCCACACGTCGTTTTCCGTGGCACCGGCGCGCATGGCCTGTCGCATCTCGCCGACCGCGGCTTCGCAAGAGGCAACCGCACAACGTATTGCGCGGATCTCATCCGGGCCCTTGATCATCCGGGCACTCTCCATGATGACCTGCCCGTCAGACACGTCCACTCCCAGCGCATCGAGGGCACGCAGGCCGGCAATTTCGATACGATCCACGGCCAGCTGTCGGTTGCTGCCGGAATGCTTCCGGAGCAATTCATCCACTTCTTTGCCGAAACGCGCGGCATGTTCACCAGAGCGATCGCCCGTTTCGAAGTAGAAGAATGTGGCACCGGTGCGCCGTTCACTGATCAGCGGCAGATGCGCGGAAAGATGGCCGCAATTATGGAAATCCCATAGCACGATGTGTCCACTAGGTGCAATAAAGCAGGCGCGAGCGGGATTGTGTGTCGTCCACAGCTGCATATTGGTGGTGTCGGTGGCATAACGAATGTTCAATGGATCGAACAGTAGAATACCGCCCAGGTCGTGACTCCTCAACTGATCGCGAATGCGCTGTAGGCGATATTCACGCATAGTCGGTAGGTGTGGCGGCTGCAAGCCGAGATGCTGCCATTCAGCGAATGCCAGTGGAGTTGGTCCGATCTCGACGCGGTCATTGTCGTTGTCCGAGCCATCAGGTTTATGAGGGTGCGCGGGGTTGATTCGACGAGAGTCGGGAGGGATAGAGAAGGGGGAGGTCAGATCACCCACTTCTTTCTTCATTGCGAACAGCAGTTGCCTATAGCTGGCAGTTCAACAGGCCAGCAGAACTTTATACAAGGTGAGCAAAGTGCCCGTCGCCGAAATAGACCAGAGTAGTGTAAAAAGATGGAAAGAACTTCAAAATCAGAGATCGGGGCTCCTCGAGTCATATATCTCAGCAAGGCAGTCAAGTAATGGTTGAAATGGAAGTTAGTTGTCCAACGGTGGTTGGTCCCGAGGTCGCAGCTTTTGTTTTGTCTCACGTGGAGGGGAGCTCATTTGGATTTCCTAACACGTACTAATCACGTGCGATAGTCGGTATATGCCGGCCGACTTGGTCCGCGGCAGATCTTTGTAGCTCGCGTCTTCATTGCGGAGGCACTGGCACATAAGTACTAATTGCTGCCAAGTCGCAGGCTGATGACCTTCAATTGTCTCTTTGTCTCTATCAGCTGCATCCAAGTACCGGCCACAGGTCAGGGGGCCCATATTATATAGCCAATCAAGTGCGTTATGCTACACACAAATGGTCAAGATCGGGTTATTTGGGTGTAGTTCCGTACTCGTGATTGGCCCATCGCCCGGGAAACAGTGGGGACAGGATCTGGCGGGGCTTTGTCTCCTGCACTTTAACATTGAACAAAGAACAAATTGAAGCTTTGGTGGTTGCGTTGAAGCCTTCGCCAGCCATGCTCATCTTCTTTTCCTCCTTCTCATGTATATCTTGTGCGCCTTCTCACATCACGCTCCTACGCTGCTCTATTTCAAATAATCACGCACCGCCGTCACTACCGTTGCACCAATGTCCTTTACCTTCGACAGTGCGTCGCAGCGCGTAATGCCCCACGTTATCGAAGCACTCCAGCGACCGCAGCGAGACCCGGATCAGCTCGCGCGCGAAAGAGATCAACGCTACGACGAACCCCCGCCGCCGTATACGGAATCGGGCGAGACCACTCAGCCTCCAAGTCCTGGCATTCCTGTCGTTGTGGGAGACGTGGTGCAGGAGCAGTCCCGACTACGCAGAATTCGGCATAAGTCGATGCCGCTCGACCAGTTTAAAGCCCAAGCTAAGCGCGAGGAGGAGAGGCTTCGCGATCAGCGTTTCGAGGGGCGCTGAGGCCGGAGACGTACTCTGCCATTTGACGAAGCCACTGACGACGGAGCCAACGCAGAAAACAATGTGCGAGCTCGCTGGGTCGAGCAGGGCATCTGGGGAGACGGATGGGGCCCAGCCTGGCCTCCGGGCATCCGTCCGCGGGGGTTGGGAGATATGCCAGCGCCCAGCTATGACGGGCCATTCTATGGCTCTTACAGCCTGGCCGCTTCGGACTTGCGACCGGGTTGTCGATGGGGCCATGAGCAAGGAGACACACCCTCGCCCTCGCCCTCCCCGCCGCCGCCGCGGCCTCGAACTCCCGATGCTCTCCTCTTTGTGCCCAGGTCCAGGCCCTGATCCCCCCACCTCCACCACGCCCTCGTGTTCAAATCGCCTTCGTTCTACCTGACGACAGAGTCGTAGTACGTGTCGCAAAGCCTACCGTGCGCGATCCCGAAGCGTCCCGGCCCCTACCGCAATTCTTATATCAGGTCGCGCAAGAGCGCGAGTGGATAAAAGACGAGACTGCGCATAAGACACCAGGCAGGGCAGTCGACCTCGATTTTTTAGCGTACCAAAGCGTCAAACAGAACTGGACCAAGGATGGTATCTAGAGCCCAAAATGGAATGGCGAACTGCCTGGCTCATCGTGGTATCACGAGGAACCTGAATCATGGGGGCCCATAGACCGCCAGCGCCCTCTCCCTACTTGGTGGACTGAAACTTTTCAACAGCCTGCTGGTCTCACTGCCGAGGAGTCTCGACGACAAGCTCGCAGGCGTGGAGACGCCAGTGCCTCACCCGCTCTTGATCAGAACCGTCGTCCCGTCCCTGCATCAGCTTCACAAGACAGCAATCATGCCACCAGCAATACCTCGAACGATGTGCCTAAAGACATACCCGACACTCCCCATGCGGAAAGTCTACTTCGCAGACGGACCCGAAACACACTAGCTCAGCAGGCTGCAGTACCAGAAAACGCACCGCATCGAGCACAAGGACCTCGCCGGTCGCTTCGACGCGCCACAACAACGAGGCCAGACAACCAAGACGGGCTTGGTCCCTCTTCTACCCAAGCTCGGCGTACAAGACCCAAGCGCGGTCGCGGCGACGGAACAGCCGAAACCGAACAGCCAGCACCGCCGCCGAAGCGGGCCAAGAAGAGTGGCGGGGGCAAGGGTCGCGGAAGCACAGCGAGCGATGGCCCGACAGAAACAACAAGCGGTCAGCGGGAGAAGCTACCGGCAACTGGAAATACCGCAGTGGAAGGAGCAAGAACAACAGAAAGCGAGAGTATTAGAGATTCTCAGAAGGGGGGGACCCGTCGCAGCGCGAGGATTGCCAACCGGCAGGCTGCGGCTGCTGTCGCCAACATGACGCAAACGGCACCAGCAAGTTCAAGGCCAAGAAGAGTCGCAAAGAAGGACAAAACTACATCTAGCGATACGCAGGTCGTGATAGCGCCAAAGAGTAGCAAGAAGCGTAGATCTCGACGTTGAGGTTTGGCAAGATTTTAGCAAATGTTTTATTAGTTTCGATCTAATTTCCCTTTTTTTAGCAATTTAACCAGTGATAGTAAAGAGCATAGACATAGTCGAGCTTTCCCCTACTTTAAATAATACAATGCCTAAGCAAAATTAAAGGCGCTAGGAAACTCAAGTTCCCAGAGTAACGTGATAATACCATGCCCATCACTATCACTATACGTTAAGACCTATTACAAACGGGAGCTTAATAGCCTCCATCCAGCATTAAAGCATCTTTCATTTAAGAAGAGAAGTAGGCAAATAAATCAAGGAAAAAGAATACTAATCAAGGGAGTACTAGTTACCTTACCATAGTCATCGATTCAACTCGCTACACTACCCATAAACAAGCTGGTTAAAACAGCTCTTGAGTGTACTTAGTTCATTGAATAGCATAAAAGGCCCTTCGTGTTAAAAGCCAAAGTGAACATATGGAACCCAAGAAAGTGGTAACTCCTCTTCTGGGATAAGGATCATGTCCCTCGCCAACCCTTCAAACGAACCTGTTTTATGGTTAATAATGCCGTCTCTTTTCTCACTCTCTGACATGCGCTTAGCCGCTCGAAGTTCATTTTCAGTTACCCACTTGGCACGAAGCTCCCGGATCGTTCGATGAAGACCCTCACTCACAGAAGCATCACTCATATTGTGGCTCTTCATCCACTGGTACGTAGCACCCGCGACTTCTACACATAGTTCATCATTGACCTCCCACATAGTGCCAATGGCATGTCGGAAGCCGGCAAGTTGGAAAGCACTGATCAGATGAAGGGCCTCGTCGATAAGTTCATCATGGTTGATTCGCCCGGTTCCACAAGCGGATAGATAGGCGAGAAACGGCATTCGCGTCCATAGATTCATCTTCAGGAGAGCTGATACAGTGAGCTGCTTGCCACCATCCCCCAGAAGCAAAGAGCTATATGACGGGTCTGACGGGTTGGTGTGACCGTGGCCCGCAAAATGAAAGATGTCGCAGTCCTTCAAGGCCGATAGGATGCTTTCCAGGGAAGAGTCACCTCCAGCTACATGGACCTCCATGGATCCACAAATGCTTCGGAGCTTGTCGATTTCCCGCGGAACGAAGGGGAGGTTCATATGACCTGGCGTCTTTTCCATGCCGACCAAGAGGATCTTGCCTAGTTCTTTCAAACGCCCTGCCGTAGAATCGTTCTCATAGTTTTGAATAAGTGCTTGTATCGAGGAACTGTAGGATGAAATGACCCGATCCAAGACTACTCGTGAGGATCCATCAACATGATGCCCTGCTGCGTGAAGAGGAAATTTGGCCAGGCGCCCAGTTGGAATCCACCACACACGTGGCCACTCGCCCTTTGGTGTCTCTGTGAATCCAAGCGCGTTAAGAATGGGATCTGCAATTACGTCCCATAGCCAACCCAACAGGTTCAAACTTAGTCCACGAAACCTCATACCCTCTCTCCTCATACCTGGAAGTTTCAGTGCTTTGATCCCACTCTTCTCCACGATAAGAGCATGGCAACCGTAGTAGCTGACGTTAATAATGACAATCGGCCCCATAACAGCGAGTGCTTTCATTTCATCTTCGGAAGGTCCCATCATGAATTGACTAAACTGGGGAAGTTGCCGAATGGCTCGGATCGTTCGCTCAATGTTTTGTCCCGCCTCATACCGCTGATTGAACCGATCAGCGGACGATGTCGAGGCCTCCAGTTGATCTCGGTTCCTGCAATATTCCTCTGCCAATCTAGGATTTTTCGCCTGGAGCTTGGATATATCCGTGCGCAGTTCTCTCAGCGACCCGCCGAGTACTCCACGCCCAAGTTCTAGGAGTCGAATGGCCTCATAAGGGGGTTTGCCTGTCTTCAAGGCAAGTGCGGCAGCATCAGAGGCGATATCGGCCACCTCGGCGAGTAAGTTCTGCTTGTCTGGATTCTCAAGAGAGCGAGGCGCGAGTTTAGGAATCAGAGAAATAGTCATTTGGGCCACTTCGGAGGCAAGCGACCACTCTTCACATTCTACATGCAGCGCATATAACTGCTTCCCTACACGAATTCGGCTCGAAGTTGGGGATGAGGTATTGGCAAAGGCTTCATGTAGGTGTTGTAGGATCTGTACTGCACTTGGATCACGTCCTGCTTCCACGGCTTGGTAGATGGTTGCCTTGCAGAGAGAATGGAGGCGCTTTGTTCGCTCTGGTAGGTCATTTGGCGTTTCATCCAGCGCTTCTTGAAATCGTTGACACGCACTGTCTATATCTGTTGTTCCTCTGCTTGCCCCCGAGTCGTACTTCAGAAAATGACTTTCACCTAGAGAATGTAAGAACTCTCCCCGTCCTTTATGATCACTCGGCATTGTATCGAGGGCCCTTTGGTGATACGCAATTGATATGTTGATCAACATCGGTGCTCCTTCTTCACGGAACATTGCTTGATGAGCTAGGCCAATCGAATGGAGCATATGAGCCCGGAGCAGAGGAGTCCGCGATTCATTAAGCGCCTCGCCAAAAAAGCCGATGGACATCACGAGGTCCTTGCGAGTTTTTAGCCTCAAGTGCCTCTCGTACAGGACATTTGCCAGAGCTTGCGATCTTTCTGCAAGTTCTGGCTCATCGCTTCGGGTTGCACTATTTACTTTTTGGAACTTCTCCAAGGCTGCTTCCAAGTCTGCGATTGCATTCAAGCGCTTGTATCGTGTGAAGTGCAGCTCCCCGAGGTTAAACAGCCGATTCGTCCACTCTGCGTCATCCGAGTTCGTAGCCTCGACTGCTCTCTGATGATGTTGGAATGCTAACTCCAAATCTTCGATAATTCCGGTTAAGTCATACTTGCTGCGATAGGCAGACCCCAGTGAGCGTAGGCGATCTGGGAGGAAGGAATCATAGTGCGGTGTTGCGTTTACCGCTTCCTCCAGCCTAATAATAGCAGTCTCGAGTTTATCTATCTCCCCAGTCTCGAAATATTGTGCCTGTAGTCCTGTTCCGAGAGAATGCAGCCAGAGTGGCCTTTTGGGATGTCTTTCTGGTGTCCTCGCGAGTGCCTCTTCAAATAATCGTACAGCCTCTGTTATCTCCGCTGCCTTTCTCTTTTGATAATCTTGACTCAAGTGGCCACTCAAGTAGGGTCCTGATGGCAAAAAGCTCAGGTACCTATTCTGGTGCCGTTTCCCTAGGGAGTACAGCCTGTCTGGTTTGTCTTTGTGGCAATCTGGCGTTGTGTTAACAAGCTCGCGAGCCTGAGAGATGGCTGAGTCCAGCTCTGCATTTTTAGATTGTACCAAATCTTCCTCATTTTGAACCGCCCCGATCTGCTCTTCTATTATGCGCCGGAAGCTTGTCCAATCGCTCTCAAAGGAATTATGAACGTCTTGATTGTTGGACATCATGCACACTCACCCGCCTAAACAGCTGTGGAACAGAAACCAGAAGTTTCGAAGTGTAAGTGTTTGGTTAGACTTATCGAGAAATACATCATTACTGGCCAATAAATAACTCATGTAGGTAATATTTGCCCACCAAATCAGGCAGCTGTGGAGGGGTAAGGCAGCAGTGCAAGCTGACTGATTGTCGCTTATGACAAGACCCAATGATGCGAATACCAGTCACTGAACTCAGGAAAGAGGGAGAATCCAGCCTGACATATTGGCAAGCCTATCTTATATGGCAATAAGGTGAATTGACATATCGAAATCTGCATTTTGGCACCGTACTTCAATATGAGTTAACTAACTCTACTCTATGCAAGGACTTGCTGGCTTTTCATTAAGGATAGGTTTCATGAAGCTTTCAGTTCAAAAGTACACAGATTCCTAATGCTTCTAGGTTTTATAGTTACTCGCCGGGCGTTGACTACGTAGTAAATCAAATACATCATTCATGGTCTCTAGGCTGACTTGATTCCCCGCATTAGGCTTCCCAAAAGGCAGATTGATTAAGTCTTGCTCAGTGCTTATCCTCTGGACCAGCACGCCGTCTAGAACGCCTTCGACTCATCAGCTTACCATACACCGTCGCACTCATACTTCCAACTCTTCCGCTATCCCGAATCTTCAAAAAGCTGTTCAATAAATCAGGACCATATACCAGACGCCATGGAAGGGAAGACTGGATCCGATCCCATTTCTCTTTTGAGTCTGCCGCCTGAAATCCAAACCAAAATCTGTTCATGCCTGGCTCAATCATTTGAGCAATCAACCATTAATGCAGTGCTCCGGACCTGCAAACACCTCTATGAGATCGCACTTCCGCTTTCCGTGAGCTTTTTCCGGAATGCAACCTCCCGTCTTGATGACAGCGGTGCCTGTTCCCGGGCCCGTAATGTACAGTTCTTACGGTATATCCTCATTCGCAAACCTGAGCTCTCTAAATACGTGGAAACTGTTATCTTCGGCAGCTTTTCGTCGGACAACCCACGGATCGAGCACCCCAAGGATATAGCACACCTGAAGGACACCCAAAGTACCAAAGCGGAGGTTGACGTCTTTCGGGAGACGATACAAAAGAAGCTGGGACACTTCGGCCTTGACAGGTTTCCTTGGTATTCTCCATGGGTGAGAGAATGGTTAGATGGTCTTGCACAGGGCAACACTGATGCTCAGATCACTCTTATTCTACTTGTTTGTCCCAACATCCGGGCACTGTTGTTCGAGCGGCCCAAAGGAGCTCAGACTTTCGTTCGATTCCTATTTGTGGTTGGCCTTTTATCGAATGCGATACCTGGAGGGCATTACCCTGAGATGCCCAGCGGTGTTCCGCTTTTGAACGTCCAAGACGTGTATCATGAGGCAAATGACGTAGACATTCGCTACAATGATTTTGCCGGGCATGCACAGCCTATCTTTTTCCTACCTCGCCTTCGATTCTACGAGTGCAATCTTGCTTTTGGAGGTGACGGAGACCCCCAAGGATTAACGCTCTTGAAACCGAGGTCTTCTCCAATAGAGGAGATTGTTCTGCGCGCCAGCGCCGTGAGTGGACCGATTATATTGGTGATGCTGAAGGCCTGCAACGCTCTCAAGAAACTGGAGTACACGCAGCTCTGCACAACGACGGCTTACAGGGGCGTAAACCCCCGGCAACTTGCAGAGGCTCTACTGCTTCATACCGATACGCTTGAGGATCTCTTCGTCAATTTTGAGGACCTTCGGGACAAACGATGGGAATGGGAAGACCACACCGATACGCTGTATATGGGAACAAGCTTCTCTCAGCTGCATTCTCTTAAGAGACTTACGATCAGCATGCAGTCTATTACCGGAATACTCGCCGGTCCTCCTGAAAATTTCACCAGTTCACGTCAGATGCCACTCCAAATTGAAGAGGCGCCCAGTCTTGTCAACTGCCTCCCCGAAAGCCTAGAATACTTGAAGATCGTGGCGTGTGGAGAGGAGATCCAGGAAAAGGCAGCAGAGTTGCTAAGGACCGTTGAAAAGCGACAACGCTTTACAAAGCTAACCTACATTGGCTTCTTTTTTAACCGTTGGCTAATGAAGCCGGAAATTGATTTGCGCTGTGACATGCCGAATGTGCAGCTGGACATTCGCTATCAGACTCGAGAAGAGTACGTTTATGATTTGGCGCGACCGATTGCGAAATCAGGACTTGGCGGTGTGCGCAACCAAATATCTCGTATTTACGGCGCAGATGCTAGACAAAAGTATCTGATGCGTCGTGGGCTGTAGTCTAGGCATTTGGACAATGAAACTCACTCGAGAATAGAGCATAATGATTACCGACAAGGAAGATAAATGAAGGCGGAACTGCGTCCTCATTTTGAGTTATCGCACACAATATATCATAAGTTTATGGATAGGAAAAGTGATTGCCCTGTCTCATATTTGCGCCCAGTTGTTCATGTTTAGGAATTGATTGTTTGGTGATTTGGTCCAGAGGAACAACTGACGAATAGCAGAGATTTCATATTATGTTTGTCAGTCAAGCGGGTCTGTTCCTTGCATGAACGATATTCTTCCCCAACAAGAAAGCTTTTCAAATCAGATGCAAACATCAGCACTCGTATAAAGTTCAATCTCCAGCTCGCTTCCTGCTACAAACTCAATGTAACCATTGGTAAATGAGTTATGGGTGTCTTCACTGCGCGTGGGGCAGAAATTAGTAACCTGAGACATGCCCCTCTACCTTTAATCGAGGAGGAGTCGATGGACCTGAAAAAAATAACATCGACCCCGCCTGATCACCACTTCACGTACTTGACACGCAGCTTCCACCACCGCCAACATGGTCTACACAATCGTCGTTCACCTCTACGCCAAAGATGACAAGGAGGCCATCGCCAAACTGAACGCCAAGCTCATCGAAGCCAGTCGTGTGTATTCCCAGGACAAGGAGACCATCTCGTGGTTCGTCATGCAAGACCACAAAGACCCCAGAGCCTTCACCATTGTCGAGCGCTACGAGCAAGAATCGGTATGACTTGTCGATATTGAGACCCCGTTCTTCAATCCCTCTTTGCTAATACACCATCTTCAAACAGAGCCAAAAGTACCATCTCGAAAACCCCTACTGGAAAACCTTCGATCCCTATGTTATCCCTCTACTTGAGAAGCCAATGGATTTGAGGAGGTTTGAGGAGCTAGACACAAGCAAGCCTGTTGAAGTTCCGCAGTAGTGTAGTATCATTGCAAGTATCCTATCCCCATTTGCATCGTAATGGCCAGTCTTCCTTCTTACCATGCCGAGTGTCGAAAATCTATCCACCCTCTGTGTTCAAGTTATCGTGAGATTGTTCATCTGTTCATGTTTTGACAAAAGGTAGACCAGCATGAGCTAATAGTCAGCCCTTCAGCCAGCCCGCCCAGTAATCTCGCTGTTGGCCTGGACAATTTGATTCCAAAGTTCCATTGATACCCTTTTGGGATTCCAATCCCATCCTTCATCTGCCTCCGTCTTAAATCCTGGTCCGTCCTTTATCAATTGTACGGTGGTCATTACAATGTCATATTGGAAACGGTCGGAAAAGCAGTGGCGAGAAAATCGAATCGCCACCTTCTCCAAGGAAGATTGTGCGCTGCTTTCGTGAAATTTGTTGAAAATGGCCCGAGCCAAAACCAGAGCGTTTTCGACATTGACATCGGGAAATGAGTTGCTACCCATCACATCATATTTATTCTCGCCTGCGAAGGCGGACGCTCTGTCATTGAGGTTGACGGCTAGCTGTATCTCTTCGAGACGATCCATCTTCACCAACTCGTCGATCGTTGTGCTTTCTTGTGGCTGCCCGCGGTCGGAAGAACCAGCGGCCTCTTCAAACAGCCTCTCTGCTTCCCGAGCGCTGATATCTGCAGTCAGATGCGTGAGACGCGGAAACCCAGCGACAATCCTTCGTGCTATCGCCGGCGTCACGGTAATGAAGTCGTAATATTCAGGTGTCGAGTGAAGCGTCAAGCTCTTTAAAGACTATGTATAGCGGTATATCGCAGGCCATAGCATAGACACATCCTTCTCATAGTTGTTGACAGAAAGTTCATCAAGTGAGTCTATAGCGACGATGAAATTATTGGCAATGCTCAAGTCACCGCCACAGCCATATAAGCATCCATAGAGCGCATCTTTCGCGTAGGTCGTTTGTAGGGACTTGATCTTTCGCACCTGCTCCAAGTCTTCTCTAAGCAATTTTTTCATCAAACCGCCAGGGCAAGAACCGTAAAAATTGATAATTCCAGAGCCAAGATCCATCCTCGGCGATTTCTCTTGAGGCGTGGAGTTCGGGTGGTTGGTTGACAGAAGAGGCCTGCAATACTTGTTTTTCCAGGCACTAAAATTAAATGCTATCACGATTTAACATTGATTTCTTCCTACTTTAATACCCGTAAGCTTTACTGTTAAGCCTCGGATTTTTGCGAGCGAAATAGGCAGCCTGTCGCTGTGCCTTGCCTTGCGCTGGTGGCTGTGCAAATCTGCCCATCTGGTCCTAGTCTCGGGCAATTCTGTACTTCAGCCTGAATCTCTAACGGCGCTTAACGGCGTAATACTAAATACTACGGGCCGGGGCATTATGTGGGAGGTGATCTCTGAGAATTTGGAGTTACTCCTCTAATTGAGAAGGATATGGCGTTTCCCGTCCAGATTTTGAATTCTAAGAAATAAGGTATATCTACGATGCATTAATATATCAACGACATTACGCTCGCTCCGGTTCCTTTTTTTTTTTAATTTAAAATACGTGTATATGAATAATCTCGGGAGCAAGATAGAAGACCTTCATTTATGCCCAAATTAAGTAACCCACCTAGTCTACTACAACTTAGAATCACACCCACGGAGGAGCATAAAGCAATCGCCACATGAAAGATCATGGTACAAGAGTAATGAAGATAAATGCTATTGGCAGGATTGGTCACCGACCTCTCTTCTCAATCTTGCTAATCTAAAGAAGGTCTGTGACCAATCCGGCACCTAGTTAATGATTCCTCATCATGAAGGGTCCTTCGGGATTACCCTGTTGTTTTCATAAGATTATGCGGGGCACGTGGATTTGAAGACCCAGCAGGAACTATCTAATGTCGGGTCAGGTGAGTGAGTATGAGAGGGGGTTAAAGAGTCCATTACCTCACTTCTAACTGGAAGTGTCTGGCGACGTGCGATCCACGCTTGTACCTAATTATACTTCAAATGAGGGTTCAGTGATAGTTCCCTTCCATTCTTCCTGAAAGCATAAACTGGAACAATACTATTTTCTGAATTTCTGTAATCAAATGTAATTTCGACGTACTTTTCCGTTGTCGTCGTGCCGAGATATCTAGTGTGATTCTTATCCAGCTGTAGTAATGTGCAAAGATGAGTGATTAATGAGTCTTCGTCTACATTTTTATCTGCACTTCTGCGATGTCAGATTACAAATCTCCCAGGCTTCAGAAGATCGGAGGCCATGCTGGCTAGTGCGATAGGTGGTGAATTGAATATGCATTAAGGTGAAGCTTTATTGTAGTAAAAAGCCGGATGTGGGGTAAGTTGAGAAAAAGAAAATTGTGATTTTCGAGGCCACTGATATTTAATCTCAATGGCGTTTAACATGAAAGTCCTGTATCAGGTGTTTCGTCTTCGCTTGGCGGCATTTGAAGCTCCTTTATCATCCCCATCCCCATCCCCCTCGCATTTTCGTTTCGAAACTCCACCAACATCTTCAAAACATTTAAACCAAGACTGTGCCAAGGCCTCTAGGGAGCGGCCTCCAGAGGGTACTTCATTGTTGTCTCGCGGCCGACTTATCTCTTCATCTCCGTCGCTTTCGTAGGGGCCACAAAGTGCATTCATTGCCGCATCTTGAACTACAGAAGGATCGGCACCAGAAATGCGAAGGAGGAAGCTGTCGCTTGGTAGTAAATTGTGAGCAAATCCACCATCCTCCTCTCCATCCTTCTCTGCGAAGTACACCGGCGAGTGGGACAGTTGGGGTGGTGGAGTGCTGCTCAGCTTGAGGACTACCTCGACTTTCTCGAGGCTCTCGGCTGACCCCTCTGTGCTGAAATATATCGCAGGTGACGCGGGTGGTGTGTTTTGGGCCGCTGAAGTGGGAGGCCCTGTGGCCGATGGTTGCCGGGTTGTCATACTTGAACTTCAGAGACAACCTCAGATTGCCATGCTACCTGTACAAGGATTGCAGGAGAAGCCTGATTATATTCTGGGTAAGGTGGCTGGGTCACTGGGCCTCTGGCATAACACAAGCTCTGGCGCCCGTCGAATACTGCACATTGTGTTCCCCACCCCCCTTCATCGTCCTAGTGATCGCAGCTATCCTCCAATGGAACTCAGCTGTCCATGCAATGCGTTGTGGGGTCCACATTATTCGCAGCCCCTGTTTGGCAGAAAACAAATGCAACACGTCGTAAAATGAGTTTTTCTTCTGGCGTTAGGCCTAATAAGCCCAACTCAATGCTCGTTGGGCCTGGGGACTTTGGTAAGTGCCTCAATGGCTGCATCACGGAACGGTTCCCAACGAAAACAACCGGCGGACTCCTTCAGCGCTACGCCCCGCGAGCCGAGCCGAGATGATAATTCATGTGTGTTTGGCGCCTTCGTCAACACAATTCAAGTGAAGGGTATCGTTCCGGCCGGAAAAGAGGAGTGAAGCGGAGAGCGGTCATTATGAAGTCATGATAATCCAGTGTCTTAAGGAAGCGCATTAGCCGTTGCCAGCAAAAAGAAAACAAGATGTGATGGTGGAATCATAGCTAGCTAGCGGAGGCCAGTGGTCACTTCGAATCGGCTTGAAACTCCCCGCTAACCAGAAAAACATTTGATGGACATACCTGATGCATCTTAAGAGATACATGCAACTTAGCGGGGTTTCTTGGGTTCACACCTCCTGCAAGTCTTTCAGTGGGGGGCCTGACGTTCAGATTTCTTATTGTGGGCGTTCAGATTTCCTGTTACGGGTGTTCAGTTGTCCTATTACGGGCGTTCCGGTTTCCTGTTACAGGTCTTCAGGTTTCTGAAAACTCCCCCTCTTCTTATCCATTGCAACCTCGATCACTTCTTCACTTTCATCTGAGTACCTCACTATGGCAAGGCAAGGCAAGAATGGCTCCGAGCATACAATTGTGTTGTGGCTTATTTACGGGATTCAGGAGATAACTCTCTGGTAATCAGAATGGGACGAACTGTGGTAGACCTGTGTCAATTTAGGACTTCCAGCTCCCTAGAAATGTAGCTTGCCAGTTTAGCTAGATAAGGGCAATGTATATAGACTTAAAGATCATGGCTATCCTTCAATACGATAAAGAGGTCTATCATGTTCCCTCGTGCGAACGTAGATGCTCTTCAGGATCTAGCTACTTGAAGTGGATTGTTGCATTCAATGTACGAACCATTTCGCCCGCAGAAACAGGTTCTCCCTCCTTCCCTGTCGTAATCTTGAGAAACCTGGAGACTTTTGCATCCTTCGAAGGATGAATATATACAGCAAGTCCATCGGCTACTACTGTCTTCGGTTCGTCGATATCAAAATCATGCCAACCCTGAATGAATTCTGGTATGCCACTCCATGCCTTCTTTCCAGCTTCTTCGGGTTGGGTCGTCTTGGAGTGGGTACATGTGGGCAGCTGGGCGGCGTGGAAGGGAACAAACGGCTTCGGCCAACATACGCATTTACTACGTATTTAGTCACGTGCGCCATGACGCCCGGCCAATGAGAACTGTTTTCTCTCGGCATACTGTGGTGCCATACATACCTAATCAAGCCTGGAAGGCATCAATGCTATGCCGCCAACTACCCACTACCCTATAGTTCAGTCCGTCATTCAAAATCTCATTCTCTTTGATATCCCCAATCTCAGCTTTAATATCTCTATTCCACTCTATAGATGATTCCTGAGGTAGATTGTCTTTCTCTTTTTCTCTATCTCTTTCCCCCTTTCAAGGTTGATTACGTTTTGTGAGAAGAATGTCATTGCTTGATCCAAGTTTGGCGAAAGACTGGTGGGATCACTCGCGGGGATGTCGAGACGATCGATAGCATTAATGTTATGCCGCTACGCCGTAGCTTGTTTGAGGCTTAAGCCAGCAGCTTAATCATTCTATCCATGGCTTGGCGGCGTCATGTTACAGGCCTACTTGATCTCTAAAGTCCCCCTTACATGTTGAGTGCCAACAAAATAGGTAGTTGATGAACTCCCTGTAATATGGACCTACGAATACAACTAGTCCACCGCGTGAAACTGAATATATATAAAGTGATAGGTATAATGTTAAATTTAATAAGCACATACACAAAGATGAGCTGCAACGGCCTGATGCCTGGACTAATCCAATTCGTGATGGCTCCGCCCTTTCCGTTTTACCTGAGAGTAAGAGAATAGGATGGACCACGGTTCTCTCAAAGGTCTTGTGGAGAGTGCTAGCTACGTAAGATTCAGTATTGTTTCGCCTCGGAGGTCAAGTCAGCTCTAGGACCGATGGTGTACAGGTCATATATAGAGCACAAATTGCAAAGGCCCCCGCTATCTGGATTTTGAGTGGTCTTACCATAGCTGGTGAGCTTAGGTAGACTTGGTTCACAAGTTTGGGACCCATCTAAGAGGGAGCGCTGCGTGGTACCGTGGTACGCTTCTCCTCATAGTGGGATAACCCTCGCCTCCATTCCCTATTTTTGAACACTCAACTCTCACTCGCGGCTTTCTCTGAAGTTCATCGCCATTTTCGCCGCATGTCAAATCCTCATCGCCTCTTTTTTTGCGGGATCGATTTGGTGGTACAGTCTAGGGGGACGGTCCACCCTACCACATGCTCCCGATACTCGACTGTTGCCTTGCTCATTTTCGAGAATCCTTTACATGAAAATTTTCCAGGAGACTTTTCTAGTTCAATTAGCTAATCCCTATGAACATAGATAGTGGCATAAGTGGAAGAACGGTTACAGGCAAGTGATTGATTATTGAACAAGTTCTCAGAGTCTTCGAGAGGCCTGGAGCCCAGTGTCCGGTATATTGTAGCTCTCACGTCTTTTAATTATTAAACGAAGCTGATTTCATATTTAAATTAAGAGATTAGATATTATCAGCCTTTTTGGGACTTCTGCAGGGAAACTATGTTCGCATTTGACCTACCACCCCCTAATGCGGTTTATCTTGCCGCGGTTGAGACATGGTATGTAGTGCTGCTGAATTCGGTGGTTTTTTTTGGACATTTTTCTCAATGGCGCTCGTTTCATTATGTGCTGCAGTTTACTAGCATTAATGATACAGCCGATCCATCTTCAACCGTTGAACCTCCTGACTCTCCGCGAGAGCAATATAACCTGTATCAAGATCAGAACGAACGTCTCCTAGCGTAACCTCAACGTTTCTCATCGCCCTTGATCTTTCTAATCCATCCCAGTGAGAAGCTTGCTTCTCTGTTGCCCTGATGTACGGATTATCTCTGGTGAAGGAAGACACGTATCCTAGAATATCTGGCGCAAGGGTGTTGAACATCAAAGTGATCGATGCTACTGCGGCGCCGAACAGGATGCAAGAGATAAGGATGAGAAGAGCCGCAAATGTCATATTGCACTTGTATTCCTCTCCAACTTGGTGCGTCATCGTGGTTTCGGTAGTATTGAAATCCGTGGGAGCAAAATTAGGTACCGCGTTGGTGATGTTATTGTACAGACTCAAATCTGTACTGAGATTGCCATACACATACTCCTGTCCATAGGTCGACTGCCAGTAGGTGTTGAATAAGACTTCGAGGTTCCTGCTCAGCGTAGGGAGTGGAAGTGCGGATAAATTAGCAAATGTATACGTGCCCTCCCCATACACGTTCGTATAAGGGTTCTCAAGCCACTTCTCAACCAATGAGCTGGATATCCTAGATCCATGTGATATCGATCCAACGGTGATTAGAGGCAAGAAGACGAGGGCATTCGAAACAGCGGTGTAAGGTGCAAAGGAGTCTTGGTCGGCCGCGACCTTGCGAAGAGAGTCAACCTGGCAGGCTCGATTGATGCAAGAGACCGATGACTCAACATATTGACCCTTCAAAGAACATTTGAGAAAGCTGCAATCGGAGGAATCATCGCTGTTCATTGCCGTCATGTTGAAGTCGATGGAGTTATCGGTAACCAACAAGGTACCTGCTGGACGAGTAGGCTGGACAACGAAGTTGGCACCTTTGCTATAGACTGAATAGCCAGCGCCCACGCCATCGGAATTATTTTTGAACACGGTGGTGTTGATCAAAACGGATGATTGGGTGCAGTCAATGCCAAAATATCGGCTGACCATGTTGAACGAGGTGTTGCCAGAGGCTGGAACGCCAACAACCGGGATCCCAAGCATCGACGAGTAGGAGACTTGCTGATCGTGGTCAATCGTGTTCCACACATTCTCCTCGGCACCAGAGCCAACCACCGGCACTCTAACATTGCCGAATAGATCCATCGTTTCGTTTTGCTGCAACTTCGATGTTGTCAGCCCCGTCATGAACAGTGACGCGAAAATTGGCCAACTTGAGGACATCGTGCTTGCGCCTGACATGGCGCTTTCACGGGCTGCTGCAATCGGCAGGTATCGGATCGTGGCGTCTATCGTTTCCTTTCGGGGCACCACCGAGAGAAGTCTCAGGGCTGCCTGGCCTCCAAGAGGGGACAGTGCCCATACCAAGATCATTGCGAGTCCAAGCGCATATTGGTCCTGTAGCAAGATCTGCCTTTCCAAGGTTGCGAAGAGAGACTGGGAGCCGATGAGACGTTCCAAGACCTACTACAGTTAGTCGTAGAATAGTGATGGAATTTGAAATATGGTGTAATACCCCTAGTTTGATTCCACGTTCAGCCCAATACAAGCCCAAGGCCCGGAAAAAGTGGCCGACGATTCCAGCGAAGATGATTGGGAATAGCGTTGGCGATGCAGTTATGATCTGCTGCACGACCTTTCCGCTGTGGGAGGTCTCTTTCTTGTCCAGCGCGATGGCAGTCGCGGCGAGCGCTACGAAGAGAATGGGGAAAATGACCAAGAAGACGTGGCCAACCAAGGGAAGGTATTCGAAACGTCGCAGCCTCTGTGGTTTTGTGTAAACGGTGTGGAAAGTCGTAGGCGGTTCTTTATCCATCGAGGGCGGCTTCGAGTCGC